TACAAATACACACTGCAAACAGTACTAACAAACACTCAATGCCTAACATGCAACAAACTGGAATATACGGACAGGAATAATTCCGCATATAAACCAAATGGGAATGACCTTACTCCCTTTGGTTTTTATGCTGACTCGCTCGCATCAGAATACGATACTGGCTCACCCTCCCTTCGTATGATACACTCCACACTTAGGAAGAACATGCGCAAACGGATCATGATTGCGACCAAATCGAAACAGGACACAATGGCCCAGACACCGCAGGCTGACTCGGGGGCCAACATGTCTGCCACGAATCAACTTCAACTCCTACATGGATACAAGCCCTACGACTCACCACTACCAGTTGGGGTATTCTCTGCCGACGCTACTCCGGACAATACACTATATGCTTATGGTGAAGGCCACATACAAATCATATCAGATCAAGGGAATATCATGCGTTGGCAAACATTATATACGCCTCACTCAACGGGTACCATACTCTCACCTGAACACTACCGCGAATCACGTAACTTCTACGCATTCATACAGACAGGACAAGCAAACAGCAAAGGAACAGTTAGTTTCATAAACAAGCTTAACCAAACTATCGAGTCCTTACAGACAGTGAGCCTCAACAATGGTCTCTGGTACACTACAAACAACGTTCTTATGGTGAACAACATGGAGAACACACACATCATAGCGGAACTGCAAAAGTTTCGGACAAAAACGTCCGGAAAACAGGTAAACAAAGCGTCTGATACCAATACCAATCGTACGCGTACATGGTCCACAGGCCTCTCTAAAGCGTTAAAGAATCTTGAACTATGGCACCAGCGCTATGGCCACATCTCCCCAACAACACTAATTAAAACACAAAAAGTTGTTGATGGAATGCCACCATTACCCACAGCCACACCATTCTTTCGCTGTCCGTTCTGTGAAAAGAGCAAAATGACAAAATATTCAGGGAAACGCCGACCTCCCAAAGAAAAATTCATACCAATGCAATCCCTGCATATGGATCTATTGTTTGTAAGCGGTCCTCCCAATCTCACAGGAATACTAACAAATAATGACAAACCCCTCCCCACTCTTAAGAAGAGCCGCCATGGCCATATAGGATTTCTCACCATCATTGATGCTGCCACACGAGCCTTGTGGACCTTTCCACTCAAGACGAAAGAACCCCCACTCAAGATAGTTGACCAATTCCTATCGAAACACGGCATTCATACTACGGACCCAAGGAAAGCCATCATCACCACAACCAAAGACGGCTATCTAGCACGCTCACGCGCCTTCCGTCACACAGCTCGAGAGCACTCTTACGAGGTAACACCAGAGGACAAGGACTACTTTACGACCCTCCTTCCCCAACACCTCGACTGTACTATTATGACCGATGGAGGAGGCGAACTTGCGAACTCAAATAACTTCCGGACAACAGCAGAAAACCACGGATACAGCGTCCTCACTACAGCAGCAGACGCATCCTCCCAGAATGGACTGGCAGAACGCCCGCACAGAACCCTCAAGGAACGCATTCGATGTCTCCTGTATGCAGCAGGATTAGGAACTGAATACTGGACAGATGCTCTTTTACATGCAACATGGCTCTATAATCGCACATACCACAGTGCTATCAACATGACCCCAATGCAACTATACACGGGTAAAGTCCCACTGGTAGACAACTTAATTACATTCGGGGCTAAAATAACAGCCAAGAGACCTGGAACCAGACCAACAACAACACATCCATGGACATACGATGGTATCTTCCTTGGCTATGGAAGAACAACAGATAATATAAAATACTTTGATATCCATACAGGGACTGACAAAATTGCAAGACATGATTCTAAAGATGAACTACAATATGGGGATAATCCATCCCATCGATCCCCAGCAGCATCACATCTCCTGGAAACATTCACCGAAGGGGACCACAAAGAACACACAACCAATACAAACCCTGCCCCAGTTAAACTACAATTCAAAGACCCACGACAAAGAAACCCGGACAGTATCATCCATGAAATACTCCAGGACTCAACACTACCATATACGGCAGCAGCAGCGAAAATGGTGATCAATCGCACTAAATTCGAACGCCCTGACATCACAGCACTAATCCCAGACCTGGAGACGCTGGATATATCAACCAATATGTATACGAAGGAGACCTCCCACACACTCCCTCTCAAGAACACTAACAGCTTCCATCCCACCATGGGGCTAATTGTGAGCAGCCACCCTGATATTACCAATGCTGTTGAACTATCCGCTATTCAACCTGGCACAATCGCACACACAAGAATACGAGGCTGGAAGAGGCGCCTACGAGGAACCATTATTACAGCAGTAGATGACAAAGCTGTTCGCAACCGCCAAGATATCATTGATGCTATCAACCACGCTAAACAGACACATCGAACAGCAATTAAATTTAAATTTGGATCCCTCACAGGCTTTGCACTCAGTGGAGAAGGAGTACCAACGCTTCAAGCGGACCAGCTCAATGTGATAGCACACCATCTCCATTCACTCAACTATGATCAAGACCTATGGCACAACAAGCAAGAATGGCCACATCCTATTGATTCACCCGCAACGACAGCCAACCAAATACAAATATCTAAACTGACAAGAAGAAAACTCATGCAAACACCAAAATGGGATGGATTTCTACAATCTGAATGGAAGCAACTGAATAGATATCACAAAGTAGGGATGTTCGGGGAACCAGTGGAAGCCACAGCAAACATGACAATCCTCCCCTGGGTGTGGACCTACATTGAAAAGGAGAACCCACTAACAGGTCTCGATGAACCTAAATCAAGGGGCACATGCAATGGAGGCAAACGGTATGGAAAGGCAGTAACTCTAGCTGAAACGTATGCCGCCTGTGTGGAACAACCGATTCATCGACTAACATGGGCACTTTCAGCAGCTCTCAACCTGATCTGTGTAGGATATGATGTAGGAAACGCCTTTGCTGAAGCTCCGCCTCCTAAGTCTCCATTCTACATGAGGGTGGATGAACCCTTTCAGCAATGGTGGACTGAATGCTTACAGAAAGACCCTATTCACCCCAACCAAGTCATCCCTATCCAGAAAGCATTACAGGGACACCCGGAAGCACCACGGTTGTGGGACAAATACATATCGGGCATACTAACAAAGGATCTTGGATTCAAGCCAACAACACATGAACCATGCCTTTACTACAAACATGACGATACTGGTCTCACACTGATCCTTCGACAAGTGGATGATTTCCTAATAGCCAATGCCAATACGACTGTCTGTGATAACATTAGACAACAGATTCAAGACAGAATGACCAACCCATTGAACATACTGGGAACCATCCGGAAATTCAATGGAATACATGTGAATCAAACACGGCAATACAACCATTTACACTGCCGTACATACATTGAAAAGATAGCATCACACCATGGATGGACCCCACAGGATGTTAAAAGAAACACACGCAAAAGACCCACACCGATGAATGAAAATGCAGTATACCAACGAAAAATACAGCTGACTGAAGGACCAGAGGATCCCAGCGAGGCCCGGAAGCTGCAACAACAACTAGGCTTTAATTACAGACAGTGCATAGGAGAACTAATCTATGCCCTCACAATTTGTCGCATTGATATCTCCATTGCAGTGATCACATTAAGCCAACACTCACATGCCCCTGCTAAAATACACTATGAAGCAGTCAAACAGATCTTCCTCTATCTCCTAGCAACTAAGAATGAGGGCCTAACCTACTGGCGTCCAGAACCTAGAATGGATCTACCGGAGACCGAACCTCCTACACCATACACAGACCCTAACATTCTGTCCAAATTCTACCAATCCCCATCCCCATTACAGATACATGGATCTTGTGACACAACCTGGGCCTCAGACAGACTCCAAAGGAGGAGTATGGGGGGGATCATTATGATGCTTGCAGGCGCAGCAATATACTATAGAACACGACTACAACCAACGATTGCCCAAAGCTCTACTGAAGCTGAATTCACAAACATGGCAGATGCTGGTAAAGCTGCTTTATACTTGAGGTGGATTATGGAAGAACTAAGCATTCCGCAAACAAAACCAACTCCCATCATAGCAGACAATCACGGTGCTGTCAGGATGGCAAACGCTCACCAACCCACTAGACGCACAAGACATGTTGAAATGAAACACTTTGTTATCCTCCAATGGACTGATGATGAACACATTAACTTTATTGAAACAAGATCTGATGAGAATTACAGTGACTCACTGAGCAAACCAACTGGAAGAACCAAATTCCTTGAACACACCGACATTTTTATGGGTCGACTAAGACCAGACTATACATACCCTCACTTGTTAACCACCCAACAGGACCCAATTGTTGAGGATAACGCCACAATATCAACACAAACACCAACAATTGCGGTCAATACCACTACATGCTGCTCCACTTGCAGGAATCTAGACCCTCTTCAAAATTTACTACGTATAAGACAATGTAAATTTGAATCGAGTGAGTCCCTAGATTCTGCAAGTGCGGGGTGGTGTGAGGCAGTAACACGTAGTAAATCACGAGTGAATAGTGAGTGACAGCAATCCGCAACACTCATCTCACTCTTTATTGTAAACACGTAGTAATACGACACTAAAGAGCTCACATACATTTCGCACCAAAAACTACGTATTTAACAAGTAAGGGACTAAATTTGTACTTAAATACAAATTTGCATTTTCTCCCTCGCGCGCGTACGATACTTGGTACCGTAGCGTAGAGCAGCCGTTAGCGGAAAAATAAAAAATAATAGTGCTCGGTGCGCCAAATTCGAAAAAAACTAAACGTGTTTCGTGATGAGACCTCTCCTCTCAACTCCCAACGGCTTCTTCAATTCAATTCACACATCGAAATACGGTACCATACCAAATACTGTACCATGGGTAAGCACGCATAGGAACACTTTCGTTACAAGTATTAATTTCCGTAACATAACGCAAGTGTGAAGCTGTTGATCGGACTGGTAGATCAAGAGAGCGGATACACAACAAAGATTTCTATCGGGTTGGGTTTGCTGTTGGGACATAGAAGGACGGAAAAACAGCACTGCCCAGCACCATCATGGATTGCTGCGGAAAAKATAGCAGCACTTTTGCCCAACTCTCGAACACCGTTTTGGAATGCGACTACGACAAAAACGTTACGAATTTATACAAAGCCATAGAAAATGAGTCATGGGGATCGGTGAAGTGCTTTTTCGAAACCGAGAAATGGTCGTACATGCATTTTATGAAGGACATCCATTCACCAASTGAACAAGCACGCACCTGGGTTACGAGATCCGACCCCAACGGCAAAGTGCGATGGTCGCAATTGCCATTGCACGCGGCAATCATCTTTCAAGCTCCGAACGACGTGATCGAAAAACTTATTGAATTATATCCATTGGGTGTGCGCTGCACCGACGACCAGCAAATGCTCCCCCTTCATCTAGCCTTCCGAGTTGGTGCAGACGATAGCGTCATGAATCTCTTGATAAGCACTTTTCCAGAAGCCGTCGTCACGCCAAATCAGTGTGGGTTGGTTCCGTATGCCATCAATGGAAAAGAAAGTCGAAAAGATTATAACGAAGCCATACAACAGATCGCCTATCAGGTCTCTCGAAATGTTGTTTTGTCCCAAGAAAAAATGTCGACCGAGAAAATAGAGAAGCTTGAAGATGCCGTTGGGGTTCAAACCAGTCTGGTGGAAACCTTGCAAAAGGACAATGAGATATTAGAGAATCAGCTTTCGGACGCGAAGAAWGAAATCAATAAACTCAAGGATATGTGTTTCATGATGCAAAAGACGCTAGCCTTCTCCAACAGACCCCCAGTCCCAATACGAACCGCAGGCTACCACCCTCGGAAAACGATGGTACAGAATTCAGAATCGGTATGCACCGATGCCAGTTTATGCCCGACCAATGACAGTTTATTCCAGACAAATGAATCTACAATAAGCAGTGTAATGCTCAATTCGATCCAATTCCGAAAACGATCAAAGCCCTCAAAGATGAATAAAATATTAGAGGCGAGAGAAGATACAAATGAACCCACAAGATGCAATGCGAAGGGTCGCCACGACCATTTTTTAAGAACTCACTTGTACAACAAAGGCGCCCTAAAGTCAAAGCCGAGTACACCGAAATCAAAAGTAGGGGGGATAAATTGGTGCGATGGCWCCAACAACGCCATACATGAAATATGATCRYGTGGCAAAATATACAACAGCTTTGACTACAATAGTGCAAAAGAMTAGATRAACTCAAAACCGAGTACACCGAAATCAAAAGTAGGGGGGATAAATTGGTGCGATGGCTCCAACAACGCCATATATGAAATATGATTGCGTGGCAAAACATACAACAGCTTTGACTACAATAGTGTAAAAGAATAGATTGTTTTTAATTCATTATGAATGGTGGAAGTATCCTTGAAGAGTTTTCTCCAAGTTTTAGCTTCGCTTTGGATTCCGTATGTTTAAGAAGTGTTTGACGATTCATTCATCCCGTCATAGAATCGCTAGTCTTCGAAAAGCGCAAAATTAGTTTCTGGTGAGGAGGTGTAGGTTCGCGTATTCGTCATACCCGGAGGTGAAATTGGAAAATCCGTAGTGGTGCTGTTGTTGTGTGGATCAGTTTCATTCACTCGTCCTTGTTCGCTTGCTTGCGTCGTTGTCAGGGTTTCAATTCTTCGTCGGCCTTTTCCTTTGCTTTCGTTTTCAACAGCTTGGCTTCGGCTCGATAGTTGATGGCCGATTGTTCGCATTCCTCGATGTCTTTCTTCAGTTCCTTTGCCTTCGTGTCCAGAWACAGKTCCTGTTGCTGCAGCAGACCCACCCGGACCTTGCCGCTTATCCGCTCGAGCGCATTTTCGAGTTTGTTGAAAACCTGGAGCGCCGCTCGCTCCTCGGTCCTGGCCACCTTCTCGTCTTCCTGCACACTCGCAAAATTTTTCCTCGCTTCCTCAAAGGCCCGCTGGGCGTCTTCCAACCGCTTGAGCGCCAGTTCCTCGGCCCTCATGGCTTGCTCCACCCTCCGCGCTGCCATCTGGGTGGACCGCTCGGCCGATTGAACGGTTCGGAGCGCGTCCCTCTGCTTGCCCTCGGTATCGACGAGGGTTTTCATGTCGTTTTTGAGACCGGCCGGCGGCTTCGCCCCCGCTCCGTCCGACTGGAAGGTTCTCAGAATCCGCTGGGCTTCCGCCGAGGAAAGAAACTGTTCCTGTTTCTTTTCGAGGCTCCCGACCCTCTTCGAAGGCAGGGAATCCAGCTCTTTCTTGATCTTGGACGCCCTCGCGGTGCTGGCCTTGGCTTTTTGTTCCATTGCCTTGCTTTGGTTTTCCAGCTCAAAGACCCCATAGGCGGACCTCGCCTGCTCGTTGACTTCTTGCGCCTTCTTGGTCGAGGCGTCCACGGCCGCCGCCGTCGTGTCCGCCGTCTTTTGAAACCACGGTATCGCCGTGTTTTCAAAGGCGTGGATCCCCATGCTCACAAAGGACTCGATTCCCTCGGCAATCTCCTTGGCGTTGAGGGAACGATCGTACTTCCTCCGTGTCACCGGATCCTTGAGGACYTCCCAGGCCGCATTGATGTCGCTCAGGTCGTAGTATGAGTTCTGGGTGTCCCGGTCGGGGTTGGAATCCGGGTGAAGCGTCTTGACCAGGGTTGTGTAGCGGATCTTGAGCTGTTCCTGGGTGTCCTTGGGGGACGCCCCCAGGTAGTCGTAAAGGGTCTTGGCCTCCCGGTCCCTCTGACGGCTTTTCGAGATGCTGCCGCCTCCCTCAAAGGTTTCGTCGCTGCCCTTGAGGGTCCGGCTCGCCCCGAGCGACGAAAGGGTGCCTGTGATGGACTGCGCGGTCCTTGTCGACGGCAGGGGGCCCGGAATCAGTCCGTAGCACACCGATGGGACGTGCACCATCCAGAACAGCGCCGCAATCATTGCTACGGAYTTTGGTTGAAATGTCATTGCCGCAAGGTTGTTTTTCTTGCTGCGTCGGCTTCTATACGAATCTACCAACAGAATGCAAGCACTWTGRCGGCAGTAAAGTGGTGCTGTAGTTGCTGCAGTTGTTGTGTACTACTCGATTGTGTACTACTCGATCTGTTTGTCCCTCTCCCTTCGTTGTTCGTTCCTGGTGACCCGGTCCCAAGAATTGATGTCTGGGTTTCTTTGACTGCAGTAGTCGAAGCGCACAGTATGGTACGGGGCCTTGGAAATGATGTTCTGCTGTCTGCTGTCTGCTGTCTGCTGTCTGCTGTCTGCTGCCTGCTGCCTGGTGTGTCAGGCTGCTGTAACCTGCAAGGGTATTTTGAGGTTCGATAGCAGCGAACTTCGAACTTCCCTGTACATGGAATTGTGACTACGAAAGATGAAACAGAAAGATACCTACAAGTACCGGTACCACGGGCACCGGTCGTGATTGCACTCAACCCCCCCCCGTACAAAACCCGTTCGAATACGAGCACGAGTCCACGACGTGTCCCAAACGCATAGAACTACGGTACCGTACCAGGTATCAGTACCAGGTACCGTACGATACAACAGAATTCGACGTTTATTGTCAAGAATAATTCATCACAGGGCATCTGCTATTTGCCATTTGCCGATTGCCAATTCATATTTCTTGGTCGCGAATCGAACGAGTCGGACGAGGTGTCAACGCTTTAGAAGACGACACCGTGCGTACAAGGTACGTATGATCACTACTGTAATGTGCATAAAGAAAAGAAGAACAAAGAACAGAAGAAATGCGCCATTGGTGATAACCTACTGTACGGTACTCGTACCTACAGTGTGAAGTGATTGGTCGGGCTCGACATGTGGGTCCTGCATCCCACACCAATCACCATCCACCAATCATAATCAACCATTCATCTTGTATTGTACCGTAGTACTGTACTTGTAATACTGTAGTTTCATGATTGACTCACTCATGACTCAATACAAAACGCTACTAGTAGCGAATCACAGTCACAAATTCATCTCYACTCCGCTCACCAAAACAAAACCAAACCACCATCAACAAAAAGATCGAAGATGGGATAGGCACTCCACGGTGCCTGCGCTYGTACTATACACCTCCACAACGCAACCCAGCCCTCCGAAACGATGCCGAATCACAGCGGCGGCGACGAATTCGGCTTCTGCCCCGTCCCGGGAAGCGTGGACGCTCGCACGATCGTTGCCGGCCAGGACCGCCGCGCCTTTGCACGCCGCAGCCTCCGGKCGGGCGAGGTGGTGCTCCGGAACGCCCCCACCGCCCACGCCCTGTTTYGTGAGCAACGGAGGGAGCGATGTGCACACTGCTTGTCCACCACCCGGGGAGCGGGCGACGAGAAGRTTTCCCGATCCACGAAGTTGCTCCGCTGCGGGGGATGCAAGCAAATTTGGTACTGCTCCCGAGACTGCCAAAAGGAGGACTTTTTCTTCCACARGGTCGAATGCAAGCAATCGTCGATTCTGCTGACGCCAGCGGAGATCGGCCAACAGAGCGACGATGCGGCSCTGCTGGTCCGGAATTTTCTTGCGCTGCACGTCCGACGAAACGGCAACAATCCAAAACACGGCGGCAGCAGTGACAGCAACGAGTGCTGCCAGCCTTCCAAGGACGGCACCGTTCGCTGTGGATCGGAYCATTTCGAAAGCCTCCAACAGTATCGCAAAGAACGCCCATTGGATGCCCGAGAAAGACAAGACATCCGGCGCGCGGCACGGGCTCTGTGGAACCAACGAACAACCCTTCACAAACAACTGAAGAACACTTCCTCCGACGCCCTCCGGAGCCTCTCGGAGCTGGAGGAGCGGCTCGAGGGCGACCTGCGGAGGTTTCGTGTCAACAACTTTGGGGTGACGAATCCGATGGTCCGGGTCGTCGCTTCGGGCGTCTACCCCCTCGGGGCCCTGCTGAACCATTCGTGTGCTCCGAACTGTCTGCTGCGCTACGACTTTGCTTCCAGCGGAGGGAGCGCACAGCGGCGGGTCGCCCCCCCGATGGAAATCGTTGCTGCCCGGGACATTTCCGAGGGGGAGGAACTCACCCACTCGTACGTTGAGCTGGTCTCGTCGGTGGACTCCCGGAGGTCAAACTTGAGAGAAATCTATGGCTTCGACTGCCACTGCGCGAGGTGTCAAGCGCCTCCTGCCGGTGGTKTGTTTCAAACAACGCTGCCCGGGAACTACCGGTCTTTGTCGCCYATCGGGCTGACCCAATGGGTGTTGCAACACTGCAATCCAGCADCCCCCTGCCAAGACAACGATTCGTCTCTTGTGCGCGTAAACCAGGACCTTCTTCTGCAACCACCGTCCTTCGATGATACTACTTCCGATAGCAATGGCACGGCCGTGGTTGATGCCGGCAAAGCCAAGCAGCGAGAAGCACAGTGCTGCATGATAAATGGCGACATGGATGGCGAACTCGCCTGTTTGAAAGAGGCCGTTCGGCTCTTTGAGTCCTCGTTGAAACCAACGGCAACGCCGACGCATACCCTGCCGTTGTCCCTGGATCTCTACAAGGCTCGCTGCGACCGATTGGGGTCCTTGATCGTTGCGGGAGGAGAAGCCTTTTTGGAGGAGGCGCTCGTGGAGTGCGAACACGTCGTGTCTTTTCTTTGCCTGGCACTGAACCACGTACCCAACCACTCGTTGCTCGGCCTACAGCTATTTACCCTGGGTGACCTTTACGAAGCGAATGGAAAACGAGACAAAGCACAGTCGACTTATATTTGGGCTAGGAGAACACTACGAATCAGTCAAGGAGCCAGAAGTGATATGGTTGTGATGCTAAACGAAAAGATAATCAAATCGTGATAAAGATTGGTTTTATATCAGAGACTGTGCGCGGGTGGCCGTGCGATGCTTCTGCAATGCCTGCTGTTGACTACAAGACACGCGAAGGAATTTTCCCGGCTATCGTTTCGAATTCTGGTTGTCGTCTACGCGTTTAGAATTCGTGCACTTCGCAGTCCCATTTCACTGACTTGCATCAGTTCATAATGTTTCTTCAGGGCCTCTTCCATATCTTGCCGTGCCGTCAGAATGTAATCCTGCTCGTCAGTGTCATAGACGCCTTTGGAACACGCGATTTCGATCAGGTTCCAAAGCAGATCAATAGAGTGATAAGGCACGCAGTCAATGTTTCCTTTCTCTGGCAATCTTGATGCCGGGTTGGCTACACGGTCATTATTTTCCAAAACCAAGGTTACAACATCACAGGCTTCAGCGAACATTCCCCTGCGAGTGTACAGTCGAAGTAGAGCAGAAGGGTCTCCTAAGTAATTCAAGCAGCCAGCCTTCGACCGCGGTGCGAATGCCCCGCCTCCGACCGTCACCGAATCTAGTCCTAGCAATTGCCTTTCGAGCCATACTGGTAATTTTGTGCTGTTGTCTATATCGAGAAAGGAGGAAGCAACACCAAGACCAAACGGTGTCTCGGCAGTCGAGTGAGTCATGGTGAGCTTCTGAAGCAAGACAAAAGTAGAAGCCCTGAGAGCAGACTTTTGTAGACTCGCCAAATCCATAAATCTTTCAGTAACGATATATGATGCCCCGCTTTCATTGGATGATGCGGTATCAATTGCAAGTTGCAGTTGTCGGAGGGTCGGTCTTGGCGCATCATCGTCTGAGAATGATAAGGGAACCAAATAATCTTGCATCAAGTGCGATAAGTAGTCTCCAAAGATGTCATTGCCCCCTAGTTTTGCTGTTCCATTGCGATGAGTATTACTTTGTGCCTTTGCAAGCAGAAGTCCATATTGATAGTAACCATTTTTGAAAAGTTCATCGATGTCAATTTGCCAGGTTTCTTTACCACGGCGAAATGCAGATTTGGCAAACTCAAAGCTTGTTGATCTGTCAAAGAAAAGAGTCCTCAGCGCTAAGCTTCGTATTGCTCTCCCATCTAAATGCGAACTGACCATGAACTTTGAGAGACGTTCGGCCGTACTCCCGTCGTCATTTGCATTACTTTTTGCATCCTTCGATCTAACGCGCTTCAGTTTGTTTGGGGTGTCGACTATGGTATCGCCGCCCGACTGAATCACACTAAATTTTCCGTATTCACCCGAGACGAGGAAGCGATAATCTTGATCTTTTACCAGGTGAATAGCGTTGGCAGATCCACAGGCAGAAAGAGCTAGGTCTTGAACAATCAAGCCATCCCGCAATTCTGAAGTCTGAATATTTATTCCTGATTTTCCGATAGATTTTCTGAGCGCCTTTTCTGCATTGACATATCGAAGATCCAAAGACTGCGCCGCTCTTCTCCACTGCTCTTGCGAAGCATGCAGCGCATAAAGAGCGCCTTGATAATCTGATAGATTGGTATTGGATGATGAATTAGCCCGTGCATCATAGACATCGCAATCAGCGTATGTGAGTAAGACGCTAGACGCAATTTCGTATAAATCAATAGATTCAGATTCCTTAGCTTCGTCATCCATTTGATCGGAACTCCTTATTCCAAGTTGTGTGCACATATCTAAAAGCTCATTTAGCGCCCCAGAGTCGACCATTGCTCGAACTAAACGATTGAAATTATTTTCCCGATGAGCCTCTAGAGGATTCTTGACACATGCATTGTATGCTTGACTCCAGCGACACGCTCGTACTGCATGATTGAATTTTCTCGTCCATATACTGACATATTCTGGCATCTTCTTCAGAAAATCATCGGGAAAGGTAGCTTCCATATCAGCAATTGCATCCGAAATAATCTGCAAGAGACTGTCAGAGTTATAGTCATCTCCAAAATCAGTGTTCTCGCTTCTAGTGACGTATCTTTCAAGAATACTTAGCCGGTGAAGGAGTTGTGAAAGACGAAGCATAATTTTTGCAATCTGCACTGCGTGTGAACGARTCGTATCGTCCAAGATGTCATCAGAAACCGATGTGTATGAGCTGAACAGGTCTTTCGCTGTTGCGAGTTCACACAAACGAATTATGTCGAGGGAAGTAGCATTCGGTAGTATGCTATGCATGAGACTCCTTAAATCTTCAACAGAACCTGCGATTCTGTTAGTCTGTATAGATTTGATGGCAATGAGCCCTTCTCTAGTGTAATCTTTTTGAACCGGATTGTAATTTTCCTGGTGCTTCGGAACAAGTAAATCGCACGCCATCTCTCTCATTGCAGACTTTTGACTCGGTGAAAACGATTTTGAAAGCGCAGCGTGCAATAAACATGAAGATAATTCTTCTTTCCTTGCCGCAACTGATTCAGGCGAGTCGTCAGAGATCTGAAAGGCAACAAATGGCGCTAAGAGTCGCAGTGCTAGATCAGGGTGCTCTGTCGGTCGCTCTCTGTCATAGGGAACTGGGAGGACGCATAATTCGGGCATGAATCTACGTGCACCGTCGATTCTTTTCTTCTTCGATGCAAATATAAGATCAACAAACGACCCGCTCAACATAATTATCGCGGAGCAAGGAGAATGTTCTACATCAAAAGATCCTACCATCTCTTGTGAGATCCTGATCATCACGACGTCCAAAGTAGTTGACATTGAAGAGCTTGATGGCATCAGAATACTTGATGTGCTGTCCCCAAAACTTGAACGCTTGCTTGGGGGTGAACCATGACGAGGACTGTCGTCGAAACGTATTTTCCTACCCCGCATCTTGTTTCCAGTGCTAGTTCGAAATGCGGTATCGGTCCTGATCCTTTGAGCTGAAGTCCACAAAATCGCAATACTTTGTACGTAGGCTCGAAAGGCAGAAGAGATCACTTGACTGCCAGCTGCCAACTCGAGGAGAAGTATGCATTTTCCGAGTCTCGAGCGACGAATGAAATCAGTTGCTCGTATCGCGCAACTACAAGAGGCATGACGCAACTGAACTTTTGCTACTTGTTGACCGCTCCAGTTCACATCACTTTGTACGTTGGCTTGTCGTGGTTCATAGTTGAAGATTTCTAGATCGCTTGGTCTACCTTCGACCCAGTCAACTAAATCCTTCATAGGAACTTGACTGAGAATTTTCCTCAGTCTCCCATCGTCAGAGCTATTCCCCTGCAAACGGGCCCAGCGACCTAACGACGTGAGACCTTCTGTGATTGCGGTGTGTGGGGAAGTCGCAAGTTGGGCGTTGGCTATGATAAAGGTCAACTCCTCTTCGATTTGGTACAAGTTTTTAGACTTTTCATGGTCGCCTTCTATAAGCTCGAGAGCATTTCTCGATGCGTCGTCCAAGGATTTTATCCATGATTCCTTATTTGTTGTTCTAGGGCGGGCGTTGCTTGTCAGAACTGTTGTGATATTGCCGCGAACTAAAACCTGGACTGGAAGTGATGTCAACCAAGATACGCATTGCGGGCTGCGTAGAGTTTGCTCTTCTTCCCAAACTTCGAAGAGAAGGCGCTGCCATCTGCTTTCGTGTGCCTCAACTTCGGAAATCATTTCTTCCTCGAATTCTTCGAGTTCGTCGTATTCATCCTGAATCATCATGTCTACCCCGTTGACATCATCGTCTGGTGCAACGAAAGACTCGTACACCGAGAGCTTTGTTTCGACTGCTTTATTCCGTGGTGTTGTTTTTGTCATTTGCTTGTCAGGCGTGAGCATATTTCGGTTTAGTTTTGAAGGAGATCCCATCGCGGACTTGCGTTTGTCCCTGTTTCGCCATTCGTGTAAAGTTCTTATAGTTTCCAGTTCCACACTCATTCCGTGTTCTTTCATAGCGCCATGAACGAGTTTCGACAATGCTCGACGGATACAACTTTCGGATGGTGCCAAAACTGTTCCATTTCCCCGCGGAAAAATAGGGCGAAAAAGATGTTTCATGTATAATGAATCGAGTCTATTCAGGGCCTGGTCAACGCTAAACGGTTCGTCTGCATCAAATGCTTCCTCGTCCTCTTCTTCGATTTCTCTCAATACAATCGATCCGTAGAGGAGGGATCGGATTCTCGCGAGTTCCTTTGTAGCGATTTTGTCTAAATCTGACGTATCGATCTCTTCTGGCTCGGAGCTCACAATAGACAAGAGACTGGGTGGATAGTTAATGACCTTAATTCCACTTGCTACCGAGTCTCTGTTACGTCTAACATTGCTAGCTTTCACAGCTTCATAGACGACCGAAAGAGTACAGCGACGCTGGGAAGGCGAGAAAGACATCCCTACTAATGATACAGCGTCATTAGGAATCGTCATGACATGGCAATAGAGCGAAGCTTCATTCTTTTCGTTACCTTCAAATACCCAAATATTACAGTCCGATTTCCCCTCGTTGTAGGCTGAGATAGTATTTGTCTTGATATGAACAGCGAGGGCGAAAGTCTGTTCGTAAAGTCTGGCGCAGAGGGCGACTGACTTCACTCCAGCGCTCCACGTAGACGGAAGCGCGAGTTTCTTGGATTCYAAGGTGGTGACCGCGATGGGTGACAAGGAGCTCTCTGGGTCGATCTTCCACTTGCGGATGCTCGCATCGGAATGYAAAGAGAAAACAAGGACTTCTGTAGAATCCTCGTYTCCGGAATGAATCGGATTTGAGGAAACGCACAACGCAGCAGTTGGAGCCATGTCCACTACGTCTGCGTCTATCTTGCCGAGAATCAAACTGGGAAGATTGGTAATCATGCCAGTGAATGGAGCCGCACGTGCCGCCATGTCCTCTTTGCATTGTGTTTCGCTCCAAACAGAGATGCTTCCAGTCACCTTCCAATCGATGGTCAGTATCAAAGGAGCCAATGCCATGACGATTTGGTGGTTTTTTGAAGGTAAGAAAGCTATCATATTTCCTTGCAGATTCGAAGGACTTACTTGCTCGAGCAATGAAGCTGGGATGTAGTCTTCCCGATTCAATACTGTCAACTGGCTATCCGTGTCTACAAAGAGATTGCCGTCCAATGTTATAGCAACAATGGTTCCCCGGCAACCTACAAGAACCAGGCTAATTCCAGCGTCAGAATTCTCTGCAGCAAAGGCACGGATCGCTACCACTTGCAAGTCTTTCGTATCTAGCTCAATAATAGCTGGAGAATCCAATACATCTTCCTTGTGCTTCTTCCACGACAGAGCTACGCTGACTATTTTGGGCGTTTCGAYCAAAGCACTTGTTGTGACTAGTAATTCTTGTCCTCCCAGAGTCACGCTTGAGATACTGGCCGCCCCCGATAGAGCCTCGTCGACAGGTTCCAGATACGCTGGCACGTTGTTCGAGCCGATGGATGCAAAAAGCTGTTGCTGATGCTGGCCCAAAGAAAGATCGCAATCCGCTAGCTTCAGTCGCCTCTGGTCAATATCTATGACATAGCGCCGCGGTGTTTCCGCGTGACTGGGATAAACCAGAGGTATCTCCTCCATAATTTCTCGAGCCGGCTTTGTTGTAAGAAATCAGAGACGTAAACGGCAGATTTCAGCCCTGCCTCTGGTTATTCGTTGTCAGCTAATAGATTTGTCAGCTACGAACTTTTTAKAAGTCTAAATGCTGCGAGTATGGCTCCCGGTCGTACTGTGGCAATGAGATGGAGRCCGATCGATCGCAGTCAAGAGGCGGAGCTGAATGATACAGTAGATTTGTTCCAGTACCAGTACTGGTACTGGTACGTCGTACTGGGCTAAATGCTCACCAACAAAAATATTTCTGTAGTCGTTTCCGCTATCGTTGTTGTCACGAAGCAATTTTAAAAAGTTGCCGCAAGCGGCTTTGGTGTGACGGACAGACTTATCGAAGGGCTGTTTTAGTCTTCATCTCGAAATTGGCTGGCTTACACCAGCAGGAGCAGATCTTCTGACAGGCAGGAGTGACAGCAATGGGGCAGGGAGAAGAGACATTCTCATCCTCACTATTACTGTTAGTAGCAAACAAAAATCTAGAACTGGTGGTAGAGTACAGTAATTGTAGTTGTTTGGTGCCAATGGACGAGTAAGCACGACCAGTAATACTTGTTCTACTAGTAGAATACTACTAGTACTACYAGTACTACGTGGTGGAGTTGTCAGCATTCTTGCTTGTTTGATGTTTTGGAAAATTGTGAATTTCAGATTACTATGAGCTGAGGAATGAGATTGAAAATGAAGGTGGAGGTGTTATAAGTATTAAAACAGATTTATTTCATGATCACTGCTGCTGGTGGGAGTACCCCCCTCTACTTGCAAAATCCTGCATCAATGTTTAAGTAGCTAGAAGAATCATTTGTTCCTTGGGACAGATCTCATAGTCTTACTGAAGATCGTATCATGAACTTTGGTAAACTAGGAAGTCTTGACATGGTTTTCACTGACGAAAGTGTTACCAATATTCTTGCAACATATTAGTATATTCCAGAATCCACTAAAGACTCTGAAATTTACCAGTATTTAGTTGTTAACAATATTGAAAATATTTACTCCAGAAAGAAAAATGGCTGTTTCTTTCCTGAATTTGCTCAGAAGATAGTTGGATATTCTGCTTTCAGCACCATTCAAGATGATGATCCTAGTGAGGTTAAAAATGATGGTGAGAGCAACTAGGACCTGTAGATTATGCTGAAAATTTGACAGGTAAAATAAGAATGAACTACTAGTAGTGCTGTAGTTTAATCATCCTGGTGTGTTGTTGCTATTGTTGCTGGTGTTGTGTTGTTTCAGGGAGGACTGCATCTCTCTTCTCAGCAGTTCTCTGCTGAATTGTGACAGTAACATGCAATTCTATCACAATAAAAATAATAATAAAGAAAAATTGGTATCATTTTGGACCTCCTCGTCTTGATGATCACCATGCATTATGATTCATGACCTCCAAGAACTAGGATTACTATCAGTTCTAGTAGTACTGCTACTACTAAAAGAAGATGAAGAACAAAGTTGACAAGAACTTGGGTTGGACAGTCAATAATTGTTGTTGTATGTGGACAGTAGGCTTGCTCATGAGGAGCAATACTCCTATGTGCCATTTCTTATGATGTTGTGCTAGCAGTAGTACTACTAGTAGAGACAAATTCAAATGCTACATTGTTTTGGAGGTACTAAACATTTTGTTGCTCTTCTTGCTGTGACAGCATGTCTCTAAAAATGAATAATCTTATTTTTTGTCAAGGTTCTAGTAGTAGTAGTTTATTTGCAAAAAACGGGATACCCAGGTTTCTATGGATTCTATACAAAAAAAACAAGTTTCTTTTTGTTTCTTTGGGAAGTCCAGAGCAGTGAGAATTATCAAGGCTAGTACTGGCTTCTGTGCAAAAGTGTACRTAGTAATCCACCAGTGTACCATAGCCAATATGAAACTACTGTACTGTGTACCTGCACAGGGCATGCACCAGATGCTACAAGTAGCTACTACCTAATATCAATTCAAGCAAAGATGGACAGACAAACAACAATGACAAGAAAAGTTGAAGATAATAATACTACTAGTAGTACTGTTCTACTATGCAACCAAGTGGAGCTTCTTCAGAGAACAGCTAATGGTTTCAGCTGCTATAGTAGCTAGCTAGCAGTAGTAGTAGTACTACTACTAATRCTCTTGGTGCTGGTTGTAGTATTCTTGTTGTTGTTGCTGGTGGTGGTGGTGTTTGTCTTGTTCCTTCTTCTCCTCCTCCTCCTTCTCYCCAGAACCACCAATGAGAGGGCAACCACAACTGTCACAGCAGCAGGGGGGGAGCAGACAGTATTCTTCTTGTCAACAAGAGACAAAAATTTGCATTTTTGAGTCATGAACCAAGTGATATTTAGTACTTGCTGTGCTCTCCAAACTTCTTGTACTCCATCTGTCCCAAAATGATTGTCCCCTAACACATTTACTATTGGAATAAGCTCAATTTTTAGGCAATTTGAATTGTTCTTTTTTAATTCTAGTCTTCTTGTTTAATATAATTTCAATATATTGTGCCTGTTCATATCATACTTCTTATAGTGAGATTGAAACAATTGGCCTTATAATGGAGCCCTTGGATCACCATGCTATTTTAGATTTATGGGTTGAAAGGGTTCCAATGGCCATTTTGCTATGCTGCTACTTGCACATGTAACAAGTGTAGATATAGTATAAGGCTAGTACTATAATGTATGTTACTAGGGGAACTTTCTTGTATGGTCCATTACTTGTTCAAAAGAGGAGGTGCATTGCTGTACCACCATCATTGTCAAAATTTCATTTGCTGTGTTAATWGTAGTATGTGTAATTATGTATGTGAAAAATAAATTTTAATCACATGCATGCTCATTTTTTCTATGGTACTGATTCTATGTACTCTACACAGTCATATTTATTGGGGGTTAAACAAAAATATTGGAGGGTTCTAAGTAAGCACTAAGTGGACTTTCAAACAGGGACAGCAAAGAATACTAGTAGTACAACCTGCTGGAGTCCTCCACATCCTCACCAGTGCTGACAACAATCAACAACCACCACCAGTACTGCGGTGTAGAAAATGATTACTAGTAGCTAGTACTAGTAATAGCTACTAAAAAATCATAATAATACTTAAGCTTGGCTTATGAACTAAGAAGAGAGGCACTAATGTGGCCACAGTCATAAATCCAGGAGATGCTGCATGCTCCTAGTAGTACTAGTAGTTGTTCCCAGTGTCAGTACCTCCCTCTGACGAGGAATAWTAGTGGAGATATGACTTGGAAAGGTTGGTACTAGGCTCAAGAGCTAGTTGAAAAATTGTGTCAATGTAGTCTGGAAAGGAATAATGGGAGTGGTAAAAGTCTTGAAAATTGATCACCGCTACTAGCTGCCCAGTTTGGCATGTTTGCATCCTCTGGATGTTGAGATAGAGAAAGATGCTCAGGTTGTGGCTACAGAAGTATTTGATGGGTAGGCTACTCACAACTTCTTTCATGAAAATTTACAAGACAGCTTATCTCCTTTAAGACTGAGTCTGGTGCTTATATTTTTTAACTAGTACTCCTCAGTAGTAGCTCCTTCCCACAAGCATCTTGAAAATTGTTTCTGAAAATACCATGTGTCAACTGAGTGATTAGTACTACTAGATTGATTTTTGCCTGCTATTATCTCTTTTTTACTGGAATGAATCTATTGGAACTACTACTTGAACATTGGCAAATCCATTAATGGCATTTAATGTACTAGTACTAGTACTAGTACTACTAGTACTAATCTCTAGTGACAAGTTTATTTAGGACTTCTTCTTGTGTGTAGTAGTGAATGGACTCATCATGATGGATTCCCAAATAACTTCATAGTAATCAATATTTCATTCTTTTTAAAACTCTTATTATTTGACTGTGACTAGACCTGTATTTTTTCTTTTTATCCTGCTACAAAATCATGCCCTCAATAGTATTCTGACAGCAGCAACAGAATAATACCAAGCAGTAAATGCCACTAGCATGGATTTGTGATGGATTTCCAATTCACTGTGCATCAAAATCAATATTTTTTCATTCTTCTTTCATTTCTTATTATTGCAGTGTGACTCGCATTGTATTTTTTACTACTAGAAAATCATGCCCTCAATAGTATTCTAACGGCAGCAACAGAATAATATCAAGCAGTAAATACCACCTGCCAAACCTTAATCATGCTGATTTAGAAGGACTTTAAATATTTCTTAATCTATTGGTTTCAGATTCTATTTGGTGGATACATCATGAACAGGTTCGCGTGTCGCATTTACTTTTATGTAACAGCAGGTGTTATGGTCGAGATATTGCAAACGCCTGAAGATCCTCTCCACAATATCTTGTGATCTTTAAGTCATCATTTACTGTAGCCCCTATTTTGTCGTAAAAGGAAAGTGCTGBTGCATTCCAATCCAAGGCGGTCCAGACAAATTGACAGCAATCTAAAACTGTAGATACCAGTGCTAATTGTTTCATGATTGTCGTCCCCACGCTCTTTCCTCGGAATTTTTCGTCACAAAATAAATCTTCCAGGTACAGGAATCGTCCATCGACCATGCTATATCCAAAATAAAACAACCCCATTGCAGCTGTTGTTGCCGTTGATGGTGCAATCTCCCTGCCTCCATTGCTGGCTTCATCTGGTGACGTAATATCGGCTAGTATGCAATAAAATAGAGGTTCCGCCGAAGAATCATAGCCATCTACCAAATAGTCTTTCGCTCCCATGTTGACGGCATCGGGTTCCTTTTCATAGATCGCCAGCAGTTTGACGAGACGGGCAATCGTATCACTGTCTTCAGGTCCAGCCAATCTCAGCTTGATGTTGGACGGTGTCGTTTGTTGGTGAAGGGTCTCTCGGATTGTCTCTTCAACGTAGACGCGGTGCAACGGTTTTATTCTTTTTGATTCTCCTCCATTCGGAACCACTGTTCCCGGCGATTCTATTGGTGTTGAACCAACAAAGTTTGCCATGGCGCACCGATTCATCGACAAAAACACCCAGTCTTCCAAGAACTCTGGACTGGCTCCAGCATCTTCCCAAAGCGGTCGTTCCTTTCCCTAGTTGCAATACAAGAGGAGAAACGGGGGATCGTGAACAAAGGAGAGACCCAATCGTTCAGTCCGAAGAAAAAGATTCATGTCGAAATCGATCCTTACCTTCCAACAAAAGCGTCCAGCGCCGATCCGAGTAGCAACCTTTGCCAAGGTGTGGTATAGCAACAGGCTACCATCGGCTTCGCTATCCATCTGATCGACGTACAACATGCGTCCATCCCAGGTGCTATACGCAATATAGAAGGTACAAAATCCAATCAATTGGCCGGGCGTTTGGAATTGTTCTTCAGAGCTAGCGACTACCTGAATACCGAAGTASTACGGCGGATGATTGTCGTTGTCTAATATGTCATTCTTAGTGCCTGCGAGGTAGAGGGACGATTTCAAAGATTTCCACTCGTCGGCTGTCACCACACGACTTAAAACGATCGACGATGGGACATTGGCGGAAGCAAGTACACTGTCAATAATTTCATTGATGAATTCAACCGATACCGATACCGATAACATTGTTATTGTCATTGTCTGTGCTACTGCTGTTGTTCCGTTTTGGTCCCAGAGGTCGATGCCGAGGATCAATTTTGTGGCAAGCCAATACAGTAAATACTACCGTACGTATCATATCATAACGGTTAGTAAAAACGAAGAAGAATACAATTCCGCTCAATGGTTTTGTTTTTGCTCGTTTTGTGTTGATGTTTGATGTACCGTACTGAGTGCTTCTACGGTACGAATGTAAAGAAGTGCAGTAGAGAGTATGATAGAAAGTATGATTGGGCATGATATGATGCGGCGCGGATTCCGCAGTACTGTGTCAAGTAGTATGTAGTAGTAGAATTTGAAGTTCTAGATCTTTGTGTTTTACGTCGAAAACTCGTAGGATAGCCTACCGGTAACCGGTACATTAAGGGATAGCATCGAACATTTTGACGAGTGAAGACAGAAGAAACAGTTTTTTTGAGTGTTTGCTCCATGAAGGTCGTCAAGCACGAGTACTAATCTTTGGTTCAAGATCTTACTCAGCATCCTTCCAGCATACAGCAATCCAAGTGTAGCCAGCAATACAGATACCAATAGTCTTTTCCACTACCAACAGGTGCAATCCTAACCATGGCACTGCAGAACGGAAAGTCCAAAAATACAAGATCCGTTCGAAACACAAGCGATGGGGAGACCGACCCATACCGAGTGAATGTTTCGCTCCGATTCATGGTATTGAGCATGGTCTCTTGTTTGCTTCTTGCGTTTGCTGTGGGTCGAATAGCCCGTATGTTGCTAATTGTCGGTCCGCAGCAAGCGATAGTTGAGCTCCACGCAGCGCTCCGAGAACATCAAGAACAACAAGAACGCGACGAAGGAAGGAAGGACATCATGAAGCTTCCGAATCCTACTCTAAAAAACAAACCCATTCCGATCACAGTATACACATCGATGAACTTCGATACCGCTAGGTCCACCACCATTAATTCCCGATGGGTTGTTTCGGAACAAGACGAAGAAGAAAACAACAAGGTCTGCAAGGGAACCATGTCGGGAAAAAATGACTGCCAGGCGGAACCCGAGATCGATCTTAGGGCCGAGCAGCAGCCAGCGAACGGAACGGAGGGCGACGATGAGTTGCATCTTCCAGCCGGTCAGCACTTGCTGATGGATATCAGAAATGTCGCGGCGGATTTTTTGGCATCCGAGGAGCGACTTGCGAACGCGATGCTGGACGTCGTCGGTGACTGTGGCCTAACACTGTTGTCCTACCACTGCCACGGCCTCACTCCCAGTGGAGTGTCGTGTGTTGGAGTACTGTTAGAAAGCCATGTTTCGTTTCACACATGGCCATCCGAAGGCGTCGTGACGCTAGATTTGTTTACTTGTGGGTCCCAATCTCTCTTGCCCATCGTCGAGAGGGTTGAGCGCCTCTTCGGAGTTCCGAGAAATGCCGATGGTCCCGAAACCGTGTGGGCCTACAAGGTCAGAGGATTTGGGGACGAGACAGAGGAAGAACTGACGGATCTTTTTACGTTCCCGATTGGCACCATGACGGAATAYAAAAAAGAACTGGTATCGATCGAGAAAACGAGCCAGAACAACAACCGAATCGATGTCTACGACGTTCTGCGCCCGGTGTTTCAAAACTACGAGCAATACAAGCGCTCCTTACTAGACGACGGTTCGTACGAATCGAGATACAAAGAAATATTCCAGCCCGACAGGATTTTGTTCGTCAACGGAGTGCTTCAATCGAGGCGGTCGGCCGAAGTACCCTACCACGAAGCCCTGGTCCATCCCGCCATGATGGCCCACAAATCTCCGTCGCGCGTTCTGTTGCTCAACTGTGGAGGAGGGGCCGCACTGCGCGAGGTGCTAAAGCACAAGGGCGTGGAAAAAGTGACCCTGATCGAGGAAGAGCCAGAGATCGTGAGGGTTTCGAAGAAGTTCTTTCCGGGATACCACGATTGCAGYGGCATCCAAGGCATCCCCTCGAATTGCTGGGACGATCCCAGGGTTGAATTGATCTACGACGATGTATACGATTGGGCAGAAGCCCAGTACGAGGACGACACCGACGAAGAATTCGACGTGATCATCCTGGACGACATGTAAGCACGAATCGAACGGAACTCCGAACATGCGCCGCCGCCCGGTGCGTGGTGGAATGTGCGGTCGGAATCCTCGATCGACCGCGAGATGCTCACTCACYCGCGCCTTCTTTCTTGTTTTGCAGCTACTACGTCGAAGAGTTTTCGGAGGACGAGGGCGACGGCGACCTTGCCGAGCTTCTCTCGGACCTGCTCGCCCCCGACGGCATCCTTGCCGCGCAGGTCGGAGACGTTCCGACCCTCGAGACGGCGGCCCTGGGGAATCCCGACATGCAGGGACGCTTCGATTTCATCGAGGACCTGGAAAGCAACGGGTTTGTCCGGATCGTGGACTACGAGGAGGTGCGTATCGTCTATGGCTTTCGCGGACCGGTGCGACACCGCACGAAACACGCCACCGGGCGTCGCTGTYTCTTTGGGATCGAAACCACCATTGGCGCTCTTGCGTTCTGACCCCCGCCACCTGCCTTTTTTTGTTTTGCGACGCGCTCGTGTTCTCTCTCTCTCTCTCTCTCTCTCTCTCTCTCTCTCTCTCTCTCTTGTGGAAAAAAAAACCGAAACAGGGCCACCTCGGGTTTTCGCACCCGTGGCAGTTCGTGATCGCCTTCAAGACCGGCGAGCCGAACGAGGCCTGGGACTCCACGTACTCCTCCTGGCACAACATGCACGTCGACCAGCGGACCCTCCCGACTCCGACCGGCGATTCCTCGCTGCTGCACTTCGACGGGGCGGTGATGAAGGGCTATTCGTACCCGAGCAAGGCCAGCGGGGTCGTCTTTTGCCGGGGCTACCCGGAATCTCGTTTCTGCAAGGAAGGCCGCGGGATCGAGACCCAGCGCTAGGGCGACGMGAAGGAGAACATTGGTCGGCACTGCTAGCTAGTACTCTAGTATTGTAGCTAGCAGTWCTAGTACTACTAGTAGAAACAGTGGATTCATGGTGTATGTGCGTACTGACAATCTGAGTTCTTTTGGGCACGATTACTAGTTGAACTTCTTGCAGTTGTACGGCAACTAGTACTAAAATAATAATACTATCTGGTAATGCTAGTATGAGATGCTATCTACTACGCTTGTAAATATTTCAATGATAGCTACTACCACTGCTGGTACCAGTACTACTTCTTGTAGGTCTCATTTACGATGAAAGAACCGAGGTGTAGTACTAGTAGTAGTTTAGGAACTACCATGGGGTTGGATTTGAAAGTTCCTACTAAAAGTACTTCTCTTCTTGAGGGATGATGAGTGGTTTTCAAACTGTAAGAAGTGCTGGTGGTCAGACAAGAGATGCCGTGCTGGTGAAAATGTAGAAGAACAAAGAACAACAACAACAATAAGAAGAAACCAAGAAACCAGCAGCAGGCAGAGGCACAGGCACCAGGAGGGAGCAACAAGGAGGCTCCCGCCAAACAACAACAAGGAGAGGGGAGTGCAACAATAGTAGTAGTAGTACGCACGAGGGAAAAAGTCCAATCGAGGTTTGTAATAGTAGTAACAACTTATGGCAAAGTATTGCTTCTAGTAGTAGGAAGTACTACTACTATGGGTAGCATACCATTCTCTTGTGATCAATGATCGATGCTGGATGGTTTTGAGACTCCTCTTGTTGTTGTTGAAAGAAGAAACTGTCGCGTGTCTCTCCTGGATGCTTCTCGCGAATGAATCCATCCGTGACCGACCAAATTCGTTAAGTTGGCGAACGTCTGTACACGATACGGTACGTACGGTACGGTACCGTACGGGAGCAGGATGTAGAATGCGTTCGGCCGGCGGCAGTTGCACTCGTCCCTACTATSAAATMGTATGTAAGTACTTACCATACGTACCAATGTACGAGGTCGTGTGGCACGACGCAGGACGCAGGACCCTGCTTCGCATCTTTTTTTTCGCTTGGCGGGCGGGCGGGCCTCGGCTTCGTGCCAAAATTTTACGGTGCGGTGCGTGTGATTCAGAAATTTTAAATTTTAGACGGCATTGGTTYTTGGCTTGGCCTTGGCACGTACTTCTACGTAATAGTACAGTAGAAGTTCCTGGTACTCGTACCCTATTTGTCCGCGCGTTTGCGTCGTTTGTTTTTACTTCTACCATAATCGATAGATACGGATTGGTACCGGTACGAGCACACAGTACCAGTCCAGGTCCTCCTCGTTCGTACCCGCAGCGCACTTAGTGTTACGACAAGTTTTCAAGTTTTTTATCATCACTCTGTTTTTACCGTTCTCATCAAGCATCGCCGCATCTCCGCATCTCTTSACGAACTGGGTTGGAGAATCTGTCACGGTCACGGTACCGGTACGAACGTACCTTGGTACTCAAAAACCCTTTGCCCTACGGTAGTACTGTACCACATGTTTGCTACGAAGGCCTTGCGCGCACGGTCCATTACTATTGTACGAAGTACAATACTTCGTAGTAAACAATAAATAAATACAGAAATAAAAATAATACAGTAACACTTCTGTGCTACTCGTACGGTACCCTTCCRGCACACTTCCAACCCCACCGCATTCTATTCTATTGTCTATTTGTATTCTAGGATGGACCTGTCGATCGTCGCAACGGTCGGGTCCTTTGCGTTTTCGGAGCGCGTCCTSAAGCCCAAGGCCACCGTCCTGGCGATCCTCGGGGTCGTCCTGGCCTTCGACCTGGCGACGAGGGACCAGGACGTGTCGGCGCTGAGGGTCTACCGCGGTCCGATCCTGCTGGTCTTTACGCTGATGATGGTCGCGTACTCCCTGCGGACGTGGAGGCGGAACGGCGTYGCCTGCGACGAGCTGGTCTTTCTGCCGGGGACGAGGCACGGGCACGACGTGGGCCTGGAGGGCCCCCTGATCGAGGCCCTCTGCAGCGGGGAAAACGACGACAGCGACAGCGACAGAGATGGCGACGACAGCTGGTTCCATCCGGCGCAGCAACCCCGGGCGCCCGGGCCGGTGGCGCGGGGCCTCGAGGCAGGGGCGTCCTCGTTGTCGTCGTCGTCCTCCTCGTCCTCCTCGTCGTCGCGGGGGGAAACCGACGGCGAGCGAGAAACGGTGGGAGACGGACGCCACCGAAGCTTGTCGCCCCTCCGCTCGCATTCGCAATCGCATCCACATCCACATTCGCATCCACACCCGGCGAGCCAGAGCGTGGAAATGGTCTCCCTCRTGCCGAGCAGCCCCGGGAGCAACCACAGCGCGGCCACACCGACGAGGAGGAACGGCCAAGGAGGCCGGCGGCGGATTTCCAGCGAGGGGGACCTCCCAAAGGACACGGAGGCCAGCGGGATAGACACCAACACCGAGACCGGGGACGAGACGGACGGTGCCCTGTACGCCGAAACGGGTGCCGGACCCGCCCATCCCGGACCCGTTTCCCCCGCCGGAGGCATCCGGGGCCGCCTGAGGCGGTGCATCGAGCGGCACCCGCACCTCGCGATGCTGTGGACCTTTTTCTTCAACCGGTCGGCCGGCACGAGCAACGMGAACGCCACCTACGCGCCATCGGGCCCGGCCGTCTTTGGCGCGGCACTGGACCTCAGCATGCCGGTCCTCTTCAATTTCCACGTCTTTATGTGGATGTTCAGCGAGGTACAGGACAAGATCGCGGACGCGGCGAGAGAGGCAGAAAGGACCAACCTGCCCCCGGAAACCGTATCGGAATTCGCCCTCAACGTACTGCCGATCGGATTCCTGGCGGTCCTCTACGCMCGCGTCGTCATCCCRCCCTCGAGGCGGGCCCGCTTCTGGGGGACGATGAGGTTTACCTTTGCCGCGCCCTTTCACACCGTGGGCGTGCGGGACGCCTTCATCGGGGACTGCCTGACGTCCTGGGTGCGACCGGGACAGGACCTGGTCTTTGCCACCGTCTACTTCTTCGCGATCGCCTGGGGGACACTGTCGGGSCGGTACGGGGTCACGGGGTGCGGACCGATGCTGGCCGAGTCCCGGTGGCTCCACAACGTCGTTCTGCCGAGCGTCGGGATCGCCGTCCTCTTCCTCCGGTACCTGCAGACGCTCCGGCAGGCCTACGACGCCAACAAGAGGTGGCCGCACTACGGGAACGCCTTCAAGCACCTCTCCGCTTCCCTGGTGGTCCTCTACGGGACGATGCACCCCGAACAGAGGTGGTCGGCAGCATGGCTCTCCTGCTTTGCGGCGGCGGTCCTCTACCAGATCGCATGGGACGTCCTCGTGGACTGGCGCCTCTTCGAGGTACACCGGGACATATCGGTGGTCCTCGGGACCCAAGTGGACTCCTCGTCGCAATCCTCCTCGATCTCCAGCTTCCGGCCMGACTCGCGGATCCTCCTGGGACTGCAAATGTACCTCGTCCAGCCCATACACGACCGGTGGCAGCGCCTGAGGGCGAGGATTCCCGACTGGAGGAGCCTCCGGCTSCGGGAGCGACGCCTCTACAAGACCGAGTCCTTTTACTGGAAGATACTCGCCTTCAACGCCCTCACGAGATTCACGTGGATGTACTGCTACATACCGGCCTGCCACTACGCCGAGGACGAGGACTCGGCGGTCATGGTTCTGACGTCCACCAGCGACGTCAAGAGCTACTGGGGCGTCCTCCTCCCGGCCTCGGAGGTCTTTCGGCGCACGCTCTGGGGGTTTTTGTACATGGAACACGAAACCATCAAGATGATGGACGCCGACTCCAAGTACCGGCGGGTCTCCGGAACCGCCTGCGCCGAAGGCGACGGCGAGGACAGCGGGGACGACGCGACGGTCGGCTCCAAGATCGACGACCACCGGTCCTTCCGCAACAAGCTCCTGCCGAAGTGGCTCGGAACCCAGCAGCAGGTCGCCCACGACGCCGCCACGGCAAAGGCAACCAAGCAAAAAAAGCTCGCGAAGCACCTCTTTCTCTGCGAGTTGTTCGCCCTGGCCCTTGCCTTTGTCCTGCTCGGCGGCCTGGTGGGCCTCTGGGTGTGAAACAGCCCAACCCAACCCAACCCAACCCAACCCAAACCACCGAGGGATTTCCGGGTGGGTGGGCCGGCCGGTCCTTGTCGCACGCTCTGCTCCCGCGCAGGGCCCGGGGGCACTCTRCGATAMATAAACTAACACCAAACACGGCGTGCTRCTACGTACTACAAATTAACATTCTTACTTTACTCCGGATCTACGTACAGCTCTTTCAGCAATTCTCCGATCTTCTGGGGGCTGTACTTGGTGTACTCGTTTTGGTGCTTCTTCGAGAACCGGATCTTGGTGTATTTCTCGTAGAATTTGCGGTAATTCGGGATGAAAACGCCGGCAACCTCCTTTTGCAGGAGGTCCCGGAGCCTCGGATCGACCACGGACAGTTCCTTTTGTTCCTCGAAAATTTGTTCAAAGTCTGAGTTGCGTTGCGTCGCGTCGYGTTGCGKTGCGTCGACAAGGCGGGAGGCACAAAAGCCGAAAACACACAAAAGCACAAAAGGAATGGTTAGGTTTGAACAAAAGGAATCGTTCACGGACACCGCGGCACGTCGGCATGCGAGAACTGTTGTTTTTGTTTGGCACGTTTGCATTTACCTTCGTTGAAACCACTGAAACGGCTCTTGATCAGTCGTCCACTGTCCAGGGACAAAATTGTATCGTTTTTCTGGTATTCCAATTCGTCGTGCTCGACGATAGTCAGGTGGGTATTGAGAGCCTCCCACTGGCCGAGGTACTTGCCCTTTTCCGATTCGAAAAGTTTGTTGACCTTGTCCACAAACCAGGAGCTTTCGATCCTGAAATCGTCCGGGGAAACAACACCGTTCCCGCTGGGACCCAACACGTCGCGGAGATAAAAGGTATTGTTCATCATAAACATGCTGCTTCGGGCGTGACCAATGTCGGCAGAGTGTTTTGTGTAATTCAGCGCCTTTCCCTTCAGAGAATTCACCAGTCGCATGACGAGAAACCTGATGAAAGAATCCAGTTCGCCGGCGTCTTCGCCCATGTTTGGATCCCACGGCAACTGTCGTCGTTTTGAAACCGATTTGTACGCACTGTCAAAGGGAGAAATCACTTTCACCGCCCTTGCCACATCGATGGTCAAGAGAGCAACCCTGGCATCCTTGACGCGCTGGGCACTGCCTTTGATTGGATCTTCCTGAATGGCCTTGGCAAGATTTTCCAGGGTTCGTGCGGTGTTCTTGACCGTTGTTCGATGGATTGCAATGCACAAGATGGAGGCAAGACTTTGTGGTTCGTCTCCGCCGTCCCCGATGAGCATCTCGCACAATTTTGCTAGCGACGGCCCTAGCATTCGAACCCCGTCCAGCATCCGCAATCCCGCCGCCGCTGCGGAGGCTGTCTGGCGCACCGTCAACGGTGGTGGGGTGTCCCCTTTCGCACCCGATGCATGGCCAATGCACCCCTCTTTCAAAAACACGGTTTCGATGATATCCATTGTCTTGTCAACAATGGACGCAGCAATGTACGAATAGGCAGCTGCACAAGCTTTTCGATAAAAGGGTGAAATTTCGTCGTTTACGGCGTCTTCGTCGGCGATCTTAGTCAGCGATGGCGACACAACKGTCCGATAGACATTTTTCTCTCCAGCTACAACCACCATGCCGTGTTCCAGACATCGGACAGCATCCCGAGCAGCTGCGTCAGCTGGATCACCAACAACATTGGAGGAAAACTTTTCGGATTTCTTTTTTCGTTCCGACTTGAGTCGTCGGTGATACGAGTCGACGCACCCGAAAGCAACTTTCTTGCGCGATTCGCCGTAGGCATCGACGTGGGGAAAACCTGTCTTCAATGGACGTTGAACCATATTTGTATACATCCCACTACCGACTTTCTCCGTGCGAATGACACGATTTGCCGGGTGTCCAAAATGATGGGCCAAACCCGCCGGTTCGCGCCTAATTGGTGGAGTCAACTGAAACCCATTGCCTCCGAGAGCTTCAAAGATACCTCGTAATTCTCGCACCAAACGGGCTTCGACTGGCTGGTATTCTTCGAATTCTCCGATGCTTCGCAACAAGTCTCGATTTTGAAGTGCTGCTGCCAAACGATCGCGAGTCTGCATAGAACGAGGTGCGAGTCAATGAAAGCGATAATCGAATATGGTGGTCAGTATCATGCTGCGTTCGAACTGAAAAAACTAGAATGTGCTCCTTTCCTGTACATGCACACGAAGTATTCTATAAGGCATACCATACCTAGTTCCTTGCTTACCTGTTGAGCAGTTTCACTGGCCGGCGTGACCCGTCTTTCTTCTTGTTTGACGACCCGCTTCATCCTCAGGGCTTGCCCACTGTCAATCAAATGAAACGATTCCAACATGCACATCGACGACACCCCCATGTGATGTAATCGTTCAAGGGAATTCAGGGAGCTCGAAGTCGATCGCCAATGTCTACGATCGATAAAATATTCGTACGCATCGCGGATGATTTCCATCGAATCAGCGGCCGCATACACGTCTTGTTCCGTCAAGACGACATTCTTCTCCTTTTCGGAATTCTTATCAAAGGGATTGTGCCGGGCAGCACTCACGCCCTTTTTGCCACCGTTTTTACTAGAACGTTCGTTCTGCATGTGAACGATTCCACGGTGTAAACGATCAATGGCAGGCTGGCAGTCAACGATCGTATCAAACTTTTCCCGGGCATCCTTCATCAAGACGAGCGTTGCGGCGAGATTGTTGGAAGCCTTGCTCAACATGCTAGACGCATCCGAGGCGGGACTCGTTAACGAGTCTAGCTGCCTTGCTCTTTTACTTAATTGATCACACCGAAGACATGCTGTAGTTGTTGTTGTTTTCATCTTTTGCAAGCTTCGATTGAGAGCCTCTACGCGGCGTCTCTCGGTTTGAATCATTTTTAACACTCCAATGCGAGGGATTAACTCCTCTACGAATAGATTATTGCGGATGCTCCGAACTCCTTCCTCACAATATGCAATCAAATGAAGATACCTTGTAGCCCGACAGCGACAGAAGTCTTAATGTGCGAAGAGAGATACTATTATCGATACTGAAACCTTCAATAATCGATGCTGCTATTGTTTTGATCTGCCTTGCGTTGAGGGGTGATTGTGTCCATTTTTCATTTCGAGCATTGATTTTGAAAAATGCCTCATTTTCAGTTGCGTTGATTCAGTACGTAGCAAACAGTACGTAGTACTGTACGTATTCGTTCAAACGTGTACACCGTAAATTCCTTGAAGAACAAAGCCAGATCTGAAAACAGATCAACAACAACAAGAACAACAAGAAACATACCGGTACAAAACACATCGTTCATATACTAAACCTCTTTTAAAAACCAATGAGCAGATCAACCCATCCCCAGAATAGAAGGAGACCATTACAGACTCCGACCTGACAACAATGGTGGTTATTCTTGTTCTCAAGAAACAGCACCATGATACTGCTACTACTAGTACTACTACTAAGAAAATTTTGAGAAATGAAGAAGTAAATTATCAAAGGTAATAATGCCTTTGTAGGAAGACAAAGTAGTAGAATGCCAAACAAAATTAACAATCAAAGTGCATAGTCAATAACATTTACCACAACAGCATAGTAGTAGTAACCACCATGCATTTAGTACCCAATAGATTACCTTCGTCCACGGCAGTTTTTGACCACATGAACTTCAAAATTGTTACAAGTAATAGTACGGCATTGCAGATTGCGATATTCATTAATGAGGAATCACATACGATGACACATCATGATATGGCGGTTAGTGGAAAAAAAAAGTATCTGAATACTGCTTTTATCTACCCGCTTTATTCCGGATATCGTTTCGATTTCAACCCCAAAAACTTTCCGACGACTCGTACAGTAGAACCTAGCTATTTTTGACGAGACCGCCGAAGACTGCGGCAGGAACTGACTTCGTACTTATATCTTGAATAGCGTTGTTAGAGGCCCGATTACCTGCTTCTTTCTCGGCTTCTTTGTCGTTGTCGTCGTCTTCATCTTCATCCTCGTCTTCAATATCAATTTCATCGGCATCACCTTCGAGTTCATCAACAAGTTCATCAATGTCAATTTCATCTTCGTCACCTCCTTCATTGGTCTGACCCGCCATTGCAGTAGCCTTTCGCAATTTTGCAACTCGTTCTTCCATGTCGTCTAAACTTGCAGCTTGTGCCGAGCGTTTTCCACTACTACTACTCGCTACGAATCCCGAAATAGTCGACGTATTTGGATTCAGCTGAACGCCTTCTCGTTCCGCAATCATTTTCATAGCATCTTCGTTCGACAAGGTTTCAGTTGCTTTCGAATCTGTGCCACTCATTTCTGCAGCATTGTAATTTACAGTAGAAAAGGAGGCTTCCACACTCCTCTTGATGCGCAACATTTCTCGAAAGGTTTCTTCGTTGCCGTGAGAGATCTCAAATTCATTCCAAGCTCTCCAATATTCTTCGTTTCGTCGCGGATCAGCTGTTTGGGCACCGTATGTAAGCACAGCTCGGGCTCTGTCTATTTCTTGTAGGGATGTCTCCATGTTGGCAAACTCCACACAGAGCTTCGATGCTACCTCGTCTTCCAATTCTTGAACAGCGTTTTGGTAAATATCACGAGTGGCTGTTTGCCCCAGGTATTTTCCGGTTTTAGCAATGAAGAGTTGGTACGCTGTATATTTATCTTCAGTTGGTACTGTTTCACACATTTTCTTGTATACGCCCAGAGCTCTTTTCGTCAAGCCGTGCTTTTCTTCGAATTGGCCATTCATCAGGAAAAAGTCGGTGCTCTCCTCTGGTGGACACGACTCTAAACATCTTTGAAATAGATCTCTTGTTCGTTCTACCTTTGTTCCTTCATAGCGCAGCAGAAATGCATCTATATAAGCTTTCCAAACAAYTTTGACACCCGGAAATTGGAAGAGTTCAATACCACGTTCGTAGGCACTGAAGGATTCTTCAAAGTACTTCTGCTCGGTCAAGAAAGTAGCAAAATTCAATACGTGAAGTGGCGTGGCTATCTTCTGGTCGATGGCACGACTGTAAGCATCCTTAGTAGTTTGAGTGGTACCCAGTGATTCTTCCAAATCTAGCATCAGGTCCCATAATCGCAATGATTTTGGTAAGCCCCTGGTCCATTTCGGTGCAAAGGGCGGAATGATTACGCTCGCCCTAATAATATCTAAGGCGTCGTCCCAGGATTCCTGTCGAAGTTCCAGTTCTACCCAATTAACAAAACATTCTGCTAGATCGTCCACATTCTTAAATTCATAAACCCATTGATTGCAGATGCGATCAAATAGATTTCTTGCCTTGGCTACATCTTTACAATCTTCTTCATAGATTTTTGCTAGTTGAATAACCATTTGGTTGGAATTCCCACCAATTGCCCTTCGCGCCTTGACCGTTTTCAAGCCATCTTCCAGGGCAGCAGCAGCCTGATGGGTCTGACCAACATCCTTATACATGCGAGCTCTTTTTAACCATTCTCCCACATCATCTGGATTTTGTCGTAGCAACACACCATTGAGAAGAATTGGTCGTCGAGCCGTCAAGTCTTCAGCTCGAGCCAATGCCAGTTCCAAATCGGACATGCTAGCACTTTTGCTATTCTTGTTATCATCTCTATTTTGATGCGGCAAGAGAATATCCCAATCATTTTCATCCTTGTCGACGCCATCTTGTTTGTCTTCTTCCAGTGCTTCATCATCGTCCATCATTTCTGCTTGGCTCTCCATTGTCGCTTCTAACAACCCCTCTTCGAATTGCAAGTAGGCATCCATCAGAATGGTGAAGTCGCGTACTCTAGATACGGATTCAATAGCTTCCTCGTATACAGATCGAGCCAGCTGGAATTCTCCACGTCGAATCCACGCATCTGCCAGTTGACTCCATAGCACACCTTCCATTTCTCGTGGTAAATATCGAAGTGCTCCACCTTGAAAAGTCTTATTACTGTTGTTCGAGTTGGTCAGGATTGCTCTTACGATCGCCTCAAAATCCAATCCAATCTCATCTTCCACTGGATGCTGAGTGCAAATTTTAGCCAAGGACATCCACAGATCTTTGCGTTCAGTGGCGGAAGTTATGACCATGTCTTTGCTCCCACTAAAGCCACTGCCACCGCCGTCACGAACATCGTCATGGTTGAGTAAATCGACGTACATCAAGGCCGCTTCTCCCCACTGCCCCAAATCGTCGGCCAAGAAGTCGGCAACCTCCTTCGTGGCCGCTGGATTGTATTGTACGTAGCGCCTCAGAACTGACAGTTTTGTTTCCTTTGGAATGTACGCGGCTGCTGTCTTCGAACTGTTGCTTCGATAATACTTCAACAAGACAGGCCAGATTTTGTCGTGTTGTGTCACTGGAATTGCTTCTAAGGCGCGATTTACCAGGTGACGAAGCTGAGTGGGGTGGATTATAATGGAGTTTTCGTTGTCTGTGCCATTGATCTCTTCCTTTTGTTGCGTATGAGCGAATTCTAGGTAGGCTATCCATGCTCTTGGAAATTTGTGGAGCGTAACCATCGCGCGTTCGAAGCATCCCAATACAGCAGAGGACCCTCCTAGGTATTGTTGCCGTGAAACCACAAATTCCCAATGGAGCTTCCACAACTTGTACGATCGGGGAAGAAGCTGAACCGACCGACGACCCACCATGTCCCGGAGCTGGATGAGTTCTGGAAGAGAATAATTAGTGGTATTTTGTGCTTGAGTCTGCTTCACTTTCATCCCACCGCTGCTGCTTAAATCACTAATTTTCCCTCTGATCAAATCGTCCATTTCTTCCAAGTAATAATTCCATGCCTTTACATTGTACGGATCTCCGCTGAGAGCATCTTCGTGGTGGGGTAATCCCTGCACTACTGTCATCGTGATTTATCGTACAGTGAGTCGTCGAAGTATTCTGGAGCCAGACGGCGCTATGAATGAAACTATCAAAAGATAATCGTGCTTGGCTCTCCAAACAAAAAGGAAGAGCTCCAACGGAACTGTTACTAGCGTTGATTGTGTAATGGTTCAAAACAAAGATTGCCACATCAACGTATCATTATCATGGTGACAATCGATGTGAAAGCCAAGCATTTACTTCGTACTGTACATTTTATTCCAGAAGCTTTCGGAGAACAGTACGTACCGTACGAGACCGAGCACGGTACCGGTATGGTTCGAACCAGTAGTGGTGTTACGTCCCCCTACCGCCGGTAAGAGGCTAGAACCTAGAACCGATCAAAAACTTGCCTTTTGGGAGCCCAGTAAATCCCCTTGTCCCCCAAATATTATGACAGAAAAGAAAAAAGCGCGCCGAAACAGAAAATGCATGCCGTAGGGTAAATCTCACTGGAAACAACGAACAACATCATTGTATCATGCCTCTAAAACTTTCTCGTTCGAAGCGAAGACGGTTTGGCAAAATACAAAACACAATTAGAAGAACGAGTGCTCAGCAACCATCACGTTTTGTAAACATCGGAAATGAGGACAACATCAATCGTCCGAAGCGCTTGACGATGTTCGAAAAAAATAGCAGAATCATGACTGATTCCATCCATTCTTCAAGCGATGGTACTATCCAGTCGTCTCTTGCTGACCGAACACAATCGACATCAAGTACGCCGCCATCACCAAACCGCGGTAACAATGGTGTCCACGGAAGTGCGACCACTCCTCAGAAGAAGCACCAAAACTCCAATATATTTTCACTGATGATGACAGGTAGTAGCGGCAAGAAAAAACGCAAACGAAACCAAATTGCGGGATCCAAACAAACAAAAAGTCGTTTCGTTGAGTGTCCGGTTTGTGGAAACCATATCGTTCCTCACGAAATGAACAAGCACTTGGATGCGTGCTTGTCACGACAAGAGAAACAGAAGCAAAAATTTGAATCAGAACAGAGGAAACTGACAGCACCACTGCATTCATTGGACACGAATAATGTTGATAAGGGCTCTTTGTGTATTTCAACACCGACTGCCACAGGAGGAAAGGTCTCAAAATCAGTACCGACGTCCACTACCAATGTTTGTTCCCCGGAAGAAACAGGCGAAAAAAAGAGCTATATTGTCGTGGAGGATGAACGGGAGCATCATAAGCATGATGAGGCGGAAACAGAAAAATGTAATACCGATGACATTACTGCACAAAAAGATATCTTTGCTCACATGATGAAGAGATCTATGAAAGTATTTTCTGAGAAGGAAGCTCCCACGTCTTCACCAAAGCTTCTCCAACAAATGCACCTTCACAAGGATGGGACAGTGAGCTTGACCTGCTACAAGATAAAAAATGCAGTGGAATCTCGCGATGATATTGCGTGGTCGGCAACGGTTCAAGTGAGGGGGAAGAAGGAAACCGCAACACCTGCGATAGAACTCTTGATCAGTTCCTCCATACCGTCGTTCGGTTCCAACGCCTCTACGCCTCAAATTCAGCAAGAACGACAGCGACTCGTCCGGAAGCATTCGAGGCTTTCGGTCCCGGTGCTCAAATCGATTCTCCAGAAGAGTATTCGCCGCCGGAAGCCCCTCCCATCGGTGAGGGTAGCCTCTGAACTCGCCGACAAAAGTTTGGGAGACCTTCTCCGTCGCTTGCCAATTATTATTCTCGAGGACTCGACTTTGCACCCAAGTTTCCCATTTCTTGTCTGGTTGATGATGGCCGACTCAAAGAATTACCATCTCCCCCTCTTTCTACTAAAACGAGTGTTGGGGATCGTATTCGAAATGGCCTCCTGTCGGTGGCAAGATTCTTTAAAAGTGCACGAGCAACAGAAAATTAATCACAACGACGAATCTACAACGGATATTCCAAGTGAACTTACGCTGGCATGCCTTCATAATTACAAAACTGTAAGCAAATTCAGTGATGACAATGCTTTATCCACACAATCTGGTACAGAATTTTGTTTGAGCAACGACGAGTTGATCGTTTGGTCAATTCTAATGAGAGGACAATACGGTGGCATGGCATGCGACATCAAAATGTTGAAAGGTTACGCCGCACTTTGGCACCAGAGATTCTTTTCGATACAAACCATCCCGGAGAAGACAAAGAAAATCTTGTCCCCGCACGGTCCTTGTCCTTCTATTACTACTTCGGACGAGATCGTTCTTGAAGAATGGAGTCAGGTTCCTGTCTTTGTTCATCAATCTGCTGCCAAGCAGAGTGCCAGTCGTATCGACCGCTTATTGATGGCAACGCCTATGGGGTCGTTTTCTCGACCCCAGTCACAAAAGGCAGCACAGAACAAAAACAATAATTTTGTTGGCTTGATCAGCTTGGGGAAGTCCGATCTAACCGTGGAAGGGGTGGATTTCCATTGCTCTTCTATATTGGAGAGTGCTATTCTTTCCAATCCAAAAGTCGTGGAGGACTGTTGCGATCATCTTGAAGCCATTGACCGAAAGTATGGTCACGGGAATTCGTCAACAGGAAACGACCGACGCACCAGGAGCCTGCATTCTTCGCTTCGAGGTGTCTTAAAATCGTGCATGTGGAAGTACAGTGCCGGTGTTAACCTGCGGTTACCTTTGCTGACAGCCGGTGGATCCACAGAAGACAAACGCGAAGGTGTGAACGACTTGAAACAATTCTATGAAAATGTTATTAAACCTCGAACCAAAGCGTTTGCCGAACGGTATGTAGAGGATAGGCTCTCTAGATGATAGAAAGTCCGGGAAATAAATTACATTTAACTTCTTTCTTAAAACTTTACACATTGCCTATACAGCAATGATATATTCCGGCATTCGAAACTACGTTTTACACCCCAGAAAGAGATAATGATACAACAAAGCATTGACACGGTAACAACCTAGCGTCCGTACAAATTAAAACTGAGCAGGATTTCACGACACCACGACGTGCCGTAAAATAAATGCTAAATGGTGCGTCCAAAGCAACAATCCATCCATTCGGTGACAAGATTCACCGCTTCAATAATTTACATCAAGATACCCTGGCACCGTGCACCGTGCAATCGTAAAGTTAATGAAATCTTACAGCAACGGCTGATGGTTTCATGCTCGCGGTGCCACGATGCACCAGCGGTGTTACACAAAAAGTGATCTCGTATTACATTCAAAGGCCCAAGTGTTCCCCAGATGATCAAAACACCATGTTCAGAAGTGTTACAATTAGCTGGAGAACTACGGTGGCAACAAGAAATTGCTCTGATCCACCGAATAGGTACAAAAAGAGACTTGAACACATGAGGAACTTCAGAAGTAGTTCTTGGTCAATCCTTCGGTTTTCTTCATCTTCCATCTCTTGTATGACATCGAGTAGCTCTTTCCGTTCGCTCAAGAGGTTTTCTGCGTACCCTTGTGTTTGTCTAAGGTATTGGTGCAGAGTTCCATTCAAGTTTTCAGAAGATTTGAGCTTTTCCTTGTAGTTTAATAGTAGAGTCTCATATTTTTTCAGTTGGAGTTGCACGTCTTCCTTCACAATCAGTCCTCGAATCGAGGGAATGTTTTCTTCGTCGTCATTGATCACAACGACTTCTAGAGGGATGTTTGATGATAATGAGTTTCGTCCCCCGTATTCGTCGTTCATAGTATAACTTTGTTCCGTGGACCCCGTATGGTGCGTTGCGGCATCAACGGACGCTTGGCTTGACTTCGTTTTAAGCGCGATTCCTGGCTTTTCGGGATGCGTTGATGTTTGGGCGGGCGATGAATTTTCTCTACAGTGCACCGCTTTATCGCAGCTTCTTGGACGGGTACGCGACCGCCTCCTTTCAACTTGGGGTTCAGCCATCGTCAAGTTTGTTGAAACAACGATGTATGTTTTGGCCTTCACTAGAGCGTTGAGTCGACCTTATACAAAATCACTGATTCTTTTCGAGTTCGTTGGTTAGGAAGTATGTGATGAGTGATGGAAATTGGCAATCGGTGGCAGATAAGAATATCATCTAAGGTAGGCTACCGATGGGATTCGTTTCGTGATCCCTTGTTATATGCGGTGCCAAATGTTGGCTATGATGATGTTGACTTTCAAGTTGAATTGAATTCGTGTTGGTGATGCTTCTTCGATTTTGAATGAATCACTGAATTGAAATTGTACGGCAACTGGCGCTGTAACACGCCAAGTTTTTTAAACTTCCGATTCTTTTTTGCGAGTGCTGAAGCCAAATGAAGAGGAAGCTGAAAAATAATTCGCGGTTTGGTCGCCTAGAATCAAAAACTTAACGATTTCATATCCGTTTGCACGCCGAATCTAACAGCTGGTGTCTCTGCTCACAAGGTAGTGACTCATTCGCTGAAGATGATGTCATAATGTGTCAGTCAGCACCAAAAAAATCGGAAAGAACCCACTGTTTTGACTGACTGCATCAATTCGGCTTGTCACTTAGAGACTAATGATGTACTTGCATATCAACAACGGTGCGTTGTCACTTCTTGTTAATCCCAAATCGGGCAGTTTCAGTCCTTGACGCTTTCCGGCTACCGGTAAAGTGTTTTATTCAACTAGTGTCAACATTTCAATTCCGTACGTACGTCCCGTCCACACGTTGCAACATCAACAGCTAGAAATAAGAAATACGGTAACGGACGACGCACAGTAGGTTTATGCCAGAAGAAACCAACCAGCTTCTTGAAAATCACACCAGTTCAATCTGAATATTTCCGTCCCCAAGGATTGTAAAAGGAATAGTACTACTACTTTTATCATTTAATTTCTATTAGTAATATTTAATATCTTGTTGTTGAAGAAGGGGAAAAGTCCATTTCTTCAAACTGCTGGTGATGGCACAAGAAGAAGAACAAGAAGAAGAACGAAACACCAACAAGTAACAAGAAGAACAACAAGGAGAAACAAGTGAGGAAGAAGAAGTCCTAGTACTATTKCTATTCACTTTGTTGATGGTAAATTGCTTTTCTAGTACTACTACTAGTAGTAGAAGTACTAGCAGCTCCTAGAAGTTATTGGCTGCTGGCTGAACAATAAAATTACAATAATGGCAGCAGGAGCAATGAGGATGAGGAGAAACAAACATTCATTGTTGCTCAGCAGTCGTCATCTTCTACTACTACTACTAGTACTGTGATTCCTCATCTTTATTTTCTCTTTATCATACTACTAGTACTACTCCCTGCTAGTAGTAGTATTATCCTCAGTGGTATTTCCTTCTTGAACAACTTGTTTTCATGAAATAATTCTTTATTTTCCTGCTCAGCAGCAGCAGCACATGGTGCAAGGAGACATGCCAATGCTCCTTATGATTGTTTCTTCAATATGATCAGACTCCTCAGCAGCAGCATGATTTACTACTACTAGTAGTAATAGTAATAGTACTACTACTTCAAAACCTTAAACAATATTCTTGGATATACTAGTACACCACTTCATTCTTTTCTTGTTGCTGGTCATCCAACCATTTGTTCAATGATTTCTTGTTGTTGTTGGAATCCTTACTACTACTAGTTGTGTTTCTGCTGTAACAACAAACTCACTCCAACAACATAACACCAACATGGTGGTACTACTACCTATTACAACTATTAGGTACTTGCTACTACTACTACTAGTACTACTACTAGTAGTACAGTACTACTACTACTAGTAGTAGTAGTACTAGTACTAGTAGTACTAGGTACAGCACAACATTAGTACTAGTACTAGTAGTACTACTACTACTATTTCTACTAGTACTAGTAGTAGCTAGTAGTAGTAGCGCTTATACTAGTAGTGCAACAACAAGAATTCCTCTATGTTATGCTCCTCAAGAACATTTGTACTACTACTACTACTACTACTATTAGTGTTTGGTACCAAAAGCGTGAAAAACAATGGAAATAATTTGTTGGAGAAACCTGAGTTGGTTTATGCTTCCGGTGGTGTACCGGTACGGTCATTGTACGCCTAGGCAGTATCGTATCACCACGGATCATCTAAAAGGTGTTGGGCGAGAATATCATCCATCACTATCGACCACGAACGGCACCAACGCTCTGCTTCAGCTATCGATGAAGAGCGTCGTAGAACGCACCGATCCACGCGATCAATTCGATCAATGCAAAGGTACTAATTTGAAACATTTTGGAGGTCTCACAAGCTGCGAAGAAAGAGCAATCGGTCGACCAATCATAAAATGTTTGTTTGCAAAATACTCCTGTGTGGCTTCATTTCGTCTTCGATCCATGCCTTGAAGTTTCCGTCCACCAAAACACAACAACTACGCTCATCAGCAGTGGAGTCAGCGAATAGTGAATTGTCGAGAAGGCAACTACTCCTGTCTGGAGTCACTTTGGGAACGATTGGAGCAATCCTGCTTCCTACCAATCCTGCAAATGCAGCTCGAGCGAAAGGAGCCGCCGAGCTAGATTTGGAATTTTACATACGGGATCTGGTCAACGGAAACAAAAAGGAAGGAAGTATTTCTCCATCAACGAATGGACCTCCTGTCCCTCCCCCCCGAACGTTGAAAGGTTCCATCATACCGCTGCTGTTGAACAAGGAATGCTCCCCAGATTGTATTCCAGTTCAGGCATTGATCGAAGAAATCGAAAAGCAAGACAAGGTCGCGGGTCGAACGCCGGCAAGTAAGGAAGCTATTGCGAAGGATATTCAGTATCGAGTCAACTCAATTCGAGAAAAAACAAGCAGAAGTTTCTTGACGAAAGCTCCGTGGAACGAGGAAGAGATTTCGGATCAGTATTACTTCGATTTTACAGCATATGCTTTGTGGAAAACAGCCGCCGAGATGATTGATGATGTGCAGAATCGTGATCGTTTCATGCGAAACATCGGTCGCTTACTCGTAGACAAACTTGAGAGCGAAGGGATATTGACGGGAAGCTCTGCGTCACGGCAACAGCAACTCTCCAAGAACAACGGTGTTCTTGTCAGTAGTATTCCTCTCGTGATGGAATTGTTGAACGTTTTCAAAACGAGCGGATATTGCAAAAACTTTCGAATAAGATCATCCGACAATGCGGATGCCATGGGTGATGACTTGCCCCTGTTTGATGAATTAGACGATGAGAGCCTCAGTATGGTTGGAACATCCAACTGCCTTGTCAGCATTTTCGAACCTGCAGTACTTGGAGCAAGCCTACAAATCAATGGAGAGAATTCAAGGTTTGCTCCCGACTTTATCGGAACAAGTTTGGCAGCGATCTGGGAAAAATATGGTGGTATCCGCTCCACCTGGGATGTATTCTTTGTGGATCCGGAGTATCGACCAAATCCAAAAGATTATTTTCCTAACGAGCAACTACTACAAATCACGCTCAACAAGAGTTGAGGACACACGAGGAGCCAAGACGATGTCTCCTCCATTAGGCAAGATACTCGTCACGTATATTACGCAGTATGCGTCTCTACTAATTTGCTTCGCTAGCTAGCTTTCATGAATGAAACTGAAAACTCGAAAAACACGTATAACACTCAAATCGTCTCCTTATTGCACACTAATGAAATCGAAGCTAGCTTGCAAAGTACTGTATCAGGGAATTAGATTCTTTGCAATATCACGATCATGATGTACTGCTACCTGTGAATTCCCTTTCTAACACCTACTATTTACTTTTCAACAGAAGGAATTGAAGAAAAAAAGTGCCTGTTTTTTTTTTGTTCACAAGTTTTACAGAATGCCAGATGCAATAAATATCATAAATTTTTCAATAATAATCGCTTAAAGATGTATTTCTGGCATGTGTTTTGGTATAAATTGTGCATAAGGGTGATGCAGATTATAAAGCACTCTGTTTTGATTCTATTAACATCGAACAGGCACCCCACGAACATGTTGTTGCTGTGACGTCGCAGGAGAACGTGTGTGGTATTTGTCTTTTATAATTTTCCTTGTTGCAACTCTTCTTGACTCGGCTCTACCCATCCATTGACCAATCCTACCAATCATTGCCACATGGCTTTCCATATTTGTTCGATAGAATCGTGCTGCCTTTGTGTAATAACGTTGATCAAAGAATTTTGATTTTTTCCCCATGTCGTGTCGGTTGTAAAAGTGTTGCAGTTGTTCGTTGCCGCCTTCGAGCATTGTCAACACCTGGGAGTGGGACCACGAGTCCATAGAAATTGACCTAACACGTGACGTTGCAACCCCATACGAACGATGCCGACCGGCGCAAACCGTGCACATCAAAACCCCGTACGTCACGCTTGCCCAATCGGGATTTCGATTGTCACAATCGACGCACTTCGAATTCCCTGGGATGGATTGCAAAAGCTTGCGGCAAGATCTCGGAAAAGGCATACCATCAGAATGGGTGCCACACCGAGAAATGCTATCTTGGTGACGCAGCTCTTCCAACTCTCTCGAAACCTTACGGAGTGTCGCAGGGTTTTCTGTGCATTGCATTTCCATCATGTTTTATGCAAGTACAAGTATTCGATTTGAGATGCAAGCAACAAGTTTGTTTGATGTACCTTGTATCTGATTTCTTTCCTGCGGAATATATTGCCTATCGAATGTAAAATAACCTCGTTTGTGTAAGCCAATCCAAAATTGAATGTTCATAAAAAAACTGTGAGATGGATAACAATTATTTCAACAGGTAGTAATGCTAGTTGTATCGGTTTCGTAGTGGAGGGATCGACGAAGAAACTTTCCCAGGTACGTAGTGTTGGCCATTACTGCATTGGAAAAAAAAACTTGAATCGAAACGTCTGAGCCAATAGTACCTGGTATAAAAGAAACGGACCTGAGACGTGAGGGCATAGTATTTTTTTTTGAAGAAAGACACGAAGAAGTATTGTTACCACATTTTGAGGGATAGGATAGTATCAATGAAAAGTATCAATATCATTAATTGATAATTTACGATTGCTCTTTGGGCTATATTTATATTTTACAATGAGTCTTGACACTATTGTTGGTTTCAAAACTGGGTCCTGCATGAATTAATTTGACTTGCGCGTTTGTTAATCTTATTCGAGGAATACAGCAAGTCGCCGTTTAGTACAGAACAAGTAAGAACAGTATCGGTCGTGAAATACTGACCGGGTCTCCTCTTTTGAGACCTGCAGCACTGAGGACAAAAATGCGAACCGCCAGTGATTCCTCCGTGCACTATTACCCTGGTATGCTACACCGGAGCCGTAGGAAATAGAGCAACTATCGTGCACATGCGGGCATCAAGAATAACTGACGCATGTGAACCGCCATTACCAATTTTGATTGGCTGATTCTATTTAATAGATGTCATGATGACGTCTAAAAAATAGTTAATTTACAAACATGGGCCGAGAATAGGTTGAGGATAGATCGAGAATAAATCGGGAATAAACGTAGAATACTTCGGGAATAGATTTCACAATTTATTCTCGATCGATCCTTGATCAATTCCTGGTTTTTTGGTGTGCTTTCTTTAAATGAAGCGTCAAGCAAGGCGTCTTAGCTGCAGCAAACAGCAAGAGCTTGCAGCACTAAAACAAGCAACATCAGCTCATATTATTAGTACTATTACTAGTAGTGCACACAACAACAATGAACCTATCAGCGAAATCGATTGAAGAAGTGATCAGGGATACAATGATTCAATGGCCACAAGGAAGGAAGTGGAACTCAAACGACAAAGACAAGCAAATAAGAGCATTTTTTGGAGCTCCATGTGCGGTGATAGCAGACATTTGGAACCGGATCTGGGAGCGACTCACTGAGAAGGAAAAGACTGAAGTTGATTGTAAGCACTTGTTGTATGCAGCACTTGTTTTTCTCAAGGTCTACTCCTCAGAAGAGGTTCTCGCCTCCCTCGTCGGATGGCCTTCAAAGACAACATTCCGGAAATGGGCCTGGTTCTTCATTAAAAAAATAAATAGCTTAAAGGATGACATTATTGATTTAGAAAACAGATTCGATGGACTTCCAAAGAAAACAAGTGCAACTTGTCTCATCTCAGTTGATGGGACACATTGCCCAATATTTGAACCCTGGCCATTTGATAAGAAGTACTACTCAAAGAAAATGAACSGACCGGGCTTGACATACAAGGTTGRTGTTTGTATTGCAACTGGACATATTGTTTGGGTCAATGGTCCCTATGTTGCAAGCACTAATGATGGAGCCATGTTCAGGGAAAAATTGACTCATTTGCTCTGCAAAGGTGAAGGAGTTGAAGTCAATGGGGGATACAAAGGAGATTCAAAGATGAAAACACCTCGGATGGGAATGACTCCGGAGATCTGGAAAGAAAAGAGTGTTGTCAGGGGAAGACACGAGAATGTAAATGGTAGACTGAAGCAATTCAATGTGCTGACAACTCATTTCAGACATACCAGTCCAAGGAATGAGATGATGGCAAAGCATGGCAAGTGTTTCAATGCTGTTGCTATAATTACACAGCTGAAATTCCTTGCCGGTGAGTTGATTTATGATGTTGACTACAATGCAAGCTATTTCTAGCAGCCGCACTGCCTGGTCGTACTGGCGGGTGAGAATGCTGCTGGACGCCAGGATGAGAATGGAGATATCTGGAATGTTGGAAACTTCTCTTTTAAGAAGCCCATGATGACTGGTGATGATGACTATGAGGTCAAAGTCTTTGACAATATTCACCTTTGAAGGGGTCTTCACGACCTTTTGCTTCAGCTCAGGTTCTTCTTTCAAGATAACTTGGAGGATGGTCACCTTATTCCCATGCTTGTCGCATGTGATATCATTAAAGACTTTGACCTCATAGTCATCATCACCAGTCAGCATGGGCTTCTTAAAAGAGAAGTYTMCAACATTCCAGATATCTCCATTCTCATCCTTGAGTCCAGCAGCATTCTCACCCATACTACCAGTGACCTTATGCGACTTGGGGAAGCGTTTGGTAACAATAGGATTCCCTTCAGCATCAGTCCCAATTTGAATCATGTCCAAGCTTGTCATGGTCAACACCTTCTTCATGAAGGTCGGCCACTTGAGCTTGACCATAAACGTGTGGTTGTCCATCCATTCAAACTCAAAGTCTTCCTCCTGGATGCCATTATGGAGAAGAAGCCTGAGGAGAACAAAGCCTTCCTTGTCCTCCRTGTTGAAATCAAAATCCATCCAGCGTCCAGAGATATGAGAGTATGCAAGGAAGCCTTGTGCAGTTTGGAAGGTGCAAGCGTCATCAAGGGAAAGACTTGCAAACAGATTATCGACTCCCAGTGAGGATGCTACCAATGAGGCGCCTCCTGAGGATGGAGCTCTTACGACAGTAGCCCTCTTGTTCTTTGCTACTGCTGGTGGTGTTTTGAGGATTGATTTTGGAGGGGGCATCTTCCGTTCTTCGTCTTCTTGTTTTGTGGATGGGGATTTGGGGGGCTTCTAGAGTGATTCCTTTCTCTGGGAGTTTCTTTGCAAGTGTTGACATAGACTGATGAGGACAAGTAGCGGGGAAGTGGTGCTAGTAGCAGGAGAGGTGCAGACAAGAACAACAACAAGCAGCCACCAGTGAGGAGGAAGAAAGAACGTACCTTCGCTCGATGCTTGAACTGGTTCTCTGATAGAGATTCAAGAATATATTGTGAGCTTCRATAGTGCTCTACTGATGCAGGAACTGGTTTCTTTGATGGATCACTGTTCCAACCAATGGCTCCTTGTGTTTGCAAGTGAATATAAAAGTTATAGCAAATGAGCTTGTTTACAAGCTGTTGCTGTTTGTATTCAACTTCTGGAGGCTTCTTCGCGTTTCGATTGAGTGCACCAGAGGTTCTCGGCATGGTTTCAACATTATGAGACAATTAGTTAGCTCCGGCGTTTGCTTTCTTCTTGTTGCTGGTGGTGCTTGCTGCACTCCTGTTGTGTTCTTAGTAGTACTATCATGCTAATACTGCTGCGATCTTGGTGAGCTTGTTTGCAAAGTGTGAGGGCCTTTGCTGCTCTTGCTGCTGCTGAATGTAATATGCCTTCACGACCGGAACCTCTACAATATTCTACAGAATTCTCGATTTACTCTTGATTTATTCACTTTTTATTCTTGGCCAACACAAGGAAAATATAATAGATCGAGAATAAATCGGGAATAAGTAGAGAATTGAATTGTTAATTATCATGAAAGAATGAAGACCGACGTCACTAATTTTAAATCGCATTAAGTAGGGCGATTGGTTCATTACACGCTASTAGATTCTATATATTCTCAGTGCGTGCATGCGCGCATTAGTTGCTCTATTTCCTACGGCTCCCGTAGAAACAAGAATAATTCTTCTTCTTAAAACGCATGTATCGTACCTTACAGTGCTGCAGAAGTAACAGAACTCACACCAGCAGTTACTTCAAAGGTGATTCCCCAAAATCTAGACAATAGAAAACTGAAGTAGGTGGTAGTACAAGTTTAATCAGAGTAAAATGCGTTATCCGTATGAACCCTACAACATCCTACAGGGGGAGTTTAATCAGAGTAAAATGCGTTATCCGTATGAACCCTACAACATCCTACAGGGGGAAAAGGCATTCTACTCAAGTGCCAAAAATTATTACTACTACTAGTAGTAGCATCACGGTTAATTTTGAAGCCCAGTATTTAGTACTGATCCTACATAGATCTACTAGTATTGGGTCACTCTTTCAACCCCAAACAGTTCAATAACAAGCTACTAACCATAATAGCTCTGGTGGAAAGGGCCGCAGCCTCTAATGAGATCCCCTTTGGGGACATGCTCGGTCATACTACTAGTACTAGTAGTAGTACTAGTACTATTTGTGTTAAGAACAAGAACAAGATTGCTGTTGTGTGTCATTCTTCTTGTTACACGATTGTTAGTAGTACTATAGCCCACCACCATGGGGAGCTGGTTCTCCACCATTAACAGCCGGAATGGCCAAAATTGGCCAGTGGAGACCAGTTGCTGGTTAGAAAATAGGCCAGAACTTTATCAAAAAACAACTCTAGACCACCAGACTAATTGCCCACCAGCAGTCCAAGTCAATATATTTACTTAAAGATCCATGTCAATGGGAAGTCAGAGGATGCTCTAGCAGCTTAAAACTAATCAGCCAAAGTAATAGTAATGGCTGGCCAAAAATTGTTAATTCTAGTAGGTGCAATTTTACACCAATTAAACAAGTACTACTACCTCCTCATGGGAAAAATTAAGGAGGAGCATTTGCACTCGGATTTGGTTTAACATCCATACAAACAGTGGTGAAGTACAAATGGCTCAGGTTTTCCATGAGGATCTTGCTGTGGTCCTCTGTGCTCCATATGTCACAGAAACCAGATTCGGCATTATTTGCATTTCATACAGTCAGAACCCTCAAATTTTCTGGTCCTATGGTTAGATTTTTATTCAAGAATTAATCAATCAAACTTCATTTTTTCTGTTTTCTGAGAACATGTTTCTTGTTTCTTGATTTGGCACTCACTTAACCTTGTTCCCATCCAACTCAGTGATGTATGCCTGAAAATTAGTWCTTTTTGAACTGATAACATTTTGCTTTTCCACATCATCAAACTCCCAACTAGTGCTTACTCTTGTTTCCCATGTGTTGATGGTTAATATGGCTCCATCTAAGCTCAAGGTTTTCTGCCAGAACTATCACAGGTCCCGTGATTGGAGGACCCAGCATCCTATAGTCCATAGCACCAAATGGGAAAAAATAGGAGGAGCTATTACTACATCTGCCAAACTTCTGACCCATCTTGTCAAGAGTTGTACATTGTTTGACAATTACTCTCTTTTTGGGGACGGAGTCAATGATTTCAGCTCTTCTCTTTACAAACTCACAAAGGACAAGGAGGATGTTACTAATAGACAATTTCACTAAATCAATACTAATCATGATGTAGTCCCAAGAAATGGAATGCCAGAAAATCTCAACAACCAAGTGATGTATAATCCATCAGCAGAAGAAGTTAACCACAGCCTGATTCATTTTGAAATGAATGTTGTCGATCAGGCCAAGCAGCATATCAAATACTGCACAATAGACAGACTTCACCTTGAGTTTGACTTGTACAATCAGGTAACAATTCCCCAATCTTCTAAACCAAAAGTTGGATTTACATTCAGAATTTGCAAAAGTGACAATATTGGTTTGCCATACATCATGAGATGGGATACAAAGGACAATCAACTGAGAAGTCTCCCTTGCTTACCAACAGAGGTTATCAATTTTTGCACAAACAACGTGCTGGAAGCTGTCACCAGGACAGAGCTGAAAGGATTCACTGAACACAAGCAAATGGAATTGGCAACAAACAAAAAACATTCATTCCATGCACAGCCCTAATTCAAATCATGATTCTGGGGAAGAATGCCATGTTTGGTTTGACTTGTCATATATTTCTCCTCCATCTCCCAAACAAAAGGGGTGTCTACTATCCAGTGGATGCTGGTGATGATTTTCCTGTTCTAAAGCGCTATCCAGGCCAGATTATATGTTTTCTCAATATCAACCAACCAAATAGTATGCACTCAGTCAAGGGCTTTGATTTTCATGAAAAAGATTACTACACCAACATTTGTTGTTTTGTGGAAGAACAAGAAACATCAAGTCACCAAAGGAATGCTAATGGGAAACCACACTCCTTTGCAAAGAAGGGTGCACTGTGTGATGGTTTGTACATTTTTCCTTGTTCAAGCATTCACTCTGAATTGCTTCCATCTTCAATTATGGATTGAGTGATAAATTCTTTGTTGTTTGCAGCAGGGAGGAAGACTAATTTCAATGAAATCATGTTGGGTATGAGCTGTCTGAGTGTGACAGAAATTGTAGCAGATAGTTGCAACCAGACTACCTGACTTTCTGAAAGATTTTGTTTGTCAATGTAAAGGGTTGAACCAATTTATTTGTTTCGTTTTTTATCATATGAAAACAAGAATGCCGTTCTCACTTTTGGTGGGTCCTTCTTGCTGGTCTTTACTTAATATTTACTTCTTGATCTTTCTTGTGTGATAGGCAGATGTCAGGTGTGGTGAACACAAGTTCTGTCTCAGTTGGATGAATGAAGATTTGTAGAATGAATGCAATCAAACAAGTGGGAACAAAACACACAGAGCAATCACAGGCTGTCCAGGGACTTGACAAGCAAGAAGCCTTGTTTTGGTAACTCCTGCTACTACTACATATTGCAAACATCATGAACAATTGCAATTACTTTGGTTACTGATAGGATATAAGAATGAGGAAATGGTCATATCTATTGTGCATTTTTGAGTGGGTTTTTGACATAGGATTCAAACAAAAAAGGGTTCTTTGAAATTAGAAAATACTAGCAATGCCGCATGAAACCTGAAGGGAGTGGGGAAACAAATTCTGAGATGACACAAAAATCTTGTTTCCATACTATGAATGCAAGTATTGTTCATAGGTATGGAAAGAGGGCTGGACAAGTACTACATTTATACAGTGGATATGCAAATTAGCCACCTGGTGATGCCATGGGCTGGTGCTGCAGATGGACTCAAAGTGGAAATCCAATCCTTGGAAGAATGGTGGCTCCAACAAGAAATCTTCCACAATAGATTGAAGGCAAATGAATATCTGAATGGGGTAGTAGTAGTAGTACTAGCTATATTCATGTCTTTGCACCTGGTGATGGTGGGAGGATCAGGATTGGTGTAACCACCACCACCATCAGCCAATTGCTGCCCTGGTACTCAGCATGACAGTACCATAAGAAGTGACTACTGGTGAGTGTATGACAAGATGACCTAAGTGTTGGACAGCAACTGTGCTGGAGGAGCAAGAAAGATTGTTGTTGATTCTGCTTTTGGCTTCCTTCTTGACAGGGACTTCCTCCTCATTCTTCTTCAGAGGAGTTCACAGACAGACCCCCCTGAGGGTGAGGACACTCTCTCCTTGTTGAATAGAGACACCATATCTTTGAGGCAGATGCCACCAGAGTGGGTGCAGTACTATGAGGATGTTTGTCCAATGAAAAAGTGGTGGTTCTAAATAACTACTACTAGTTCTAGTTCTACTAGTAGTAGTAGTTCTAGCATGTACCAATAGTGCATACGTACGCAGTAGCAATGATGTGCACTCCAATCCCAAGCGCAACCGGGAATACACTGGTTTGGGCCAAGACGAAAAAACCCGGTGTGTTCGAAGGGAATGGACCAATACTTCCTCTTGAAAAATCACATCTGCCGTCACCGGACCAGGAATTTATCGAGCATCGTGTCAAGCGTGTGTCACTGGTTCMTCGTGGTACGTGGTTCGAGATCGTAATTCATGTTCCGTAGAAAGACGATTAAGTGCGAATCCCAGTAGCGAAGCATTCGTCGAAAACGATTGGCCAGRAGGGGTTCGAAAAGAACACATTTTAGAGCATCTTGGAAATGGGCACGCTTTTGGCACGCTTCCGACCAGCGCCCAACACAGTTTGGCTATCGAAACGCGCTTGGAGCTGCGGTTCAATCGTGTGGCATTGAACTACGGTAGCGCGTATGATACATCTCTGAACACGATTGCCGTACGGTACAGCAGTACGAGTAGGCCCACGACTACGAATGTACAGTACTAATTTGTACCGTACCGTACGGTACTGTAGTCATCGTACYGTGCTTTCGTTTTATTTCTTGCCAAAATTGATTGATTCGTTCGACGTGGAGAGGCAGGAAAGGAGGCAGGGGTCCGTTTTTTTGCAATTGCCATTTCGCGCTGTTCGGTTTTTCGGGTTCACGGTCTTCGGGTTCACGGTGAACGCGTTCTTCCAGCAGATTACGACCGGGACACATGCCGCCCACAATCTGTTCCGGGGACTTTTCCAGAATTAATAGAAGTGCTTCCAGTTCGTTCGAACCATTGCACTGCATTTCATTCATTGTACAGTATTCCAAAATGGCGGTCATACCAGAAAACCAGGAGAGGGAAGAACGGCTCGAGACGGTTGGGTTGCAGATGGCACCGTCCGAGAAACGCGGCAGCGTCCGGGGCGAGAACGAAACCGTGGTTTCGTACAACCAAGGGAGCTTTTCCCCGTGTGGACCGAGTCTTGGAAGCAGCGACAAGGCCGAAACCACTAGCGCGTCTTCGGTCGTCTCGTTTTCCTCCTCGTCCTCCGAAGAAGAGGGTTTCCAGCTCTATTATTACACCCGTGCTGAGATCCTGAGGCACAACACGGAGACGTCGGCGTGGATCGTTGCCGGGGAGGACATTTACGACGTGACGGACTACATAGAGCACCACCCCGGGGGAAAGTATTCACTCATGAAGAAGGTCGGGGGTGCCGTTGATTGCACGCAGGACCTCTTGTTTCACTCGAGGAGCGGCCAGAAATACTGGAAGCAATTCCTGATAGGGAAGGTGACGAAAACCCCTTCGAAAAACGGCCGTCCCGTCGAAAAGGAATGGTGGAAGTTCTGGGAGTGAAGCGGAAGGAGTATTGCGAAACCTCTCTCCCCTCGTTTGGCCCACGCCTTGGTGTTTAGGAGACAAGAGGGCAAACCCAATGTCAAGCCCAAGGGGTACAGAAAGGGCCCGCTCCGCTTCGGCATTGGTCCCTGCAAACAATGGCAGACACGATCATTTCGAAYACGCGCTGCTAGATTCGATCGCACGACGCAGCCGCCCCGAGCCGCAACCCTGCCGGGGGCTGCGGGGAAAATCCAGGTGGTTCAAAACAAAGAGAGAAGGCCTATCCGCACGAATGCATTCTGTGCTACTAGGACATGGTTCTCTCGGAAACAACGGAAAGYRCGACACGCAGAAGCCAWTTCCATCTAAGCCATGGAACGAATCGAACCAAGCCAGGAATCACGGTCAAAGCAACGAACAAATACGGTTTTTCATTGAAACAAGTTTGACGATTTCCGGTGGAGTCCTCGACGGAGCCCATGCCGGAATGCATTGGTCTTGAGAACGAGGACGAGGCCTTTGGGATGCATTTTTTAGGCAAACAGCTACTGTATTCAGTAAAGAAGTAAACCTACTCTGCTTGTTCTGCGAAAGCAGGAAGAGTACGTACTCGTACTCGCAATCGATCGAAACGAGGTCTGTGATGAAAAGAGTCAGGGAAAAAATGGCCTCTCCAACTTCGCTTCGTTGAAACAGACTTTCTGAACTTAAGTACGGTACCGACCGTACTGTACGTACCGGTACTTTTTATATTGCTACTAAAATATGGCTTTAATAGGGTCAGTACTGCAATAGCTACTACTTCTACTGTATGCGCAAAATGCAACTAAAATTGCATTATCATTATTGCCTCCATGCAACGAAAAAACAGTACMACATAGGCCTACCCCCTAAATACTGGTGTACGGCAAACCATTACTCCTTTATTTTCAACCGTATTGTTTTTTTTGTGTGCAAAATACATAGAAGAAACGGTATTGAGATTTTATGTACTACTCTTACTCAGTAGCTTGTTTGTTGCATTCTCAACCGTTGAAAACACGCACGCAGTGCAATAATACAACACGGAGACGTGGTCGTGGTGGGCCTGCACGTGAAAACTGCACATGAAAACTTGAGCTTATTCAGCTTATTCCCCCTTCAGCAGCAACAAGCAACAACAAGCAAACAGTAAACAGTAACAAGATGACACCACCAGCACCACCAGCACAACAAGATGGACGCGGGCCCGGAGGACGCGGACCAGTAGCAGTACGCGCAGGAGCACGGAGAGCACGACGCGGACGTCGTGGCAGGAGACAAGAAGAAGAACTCCCTCCGCCCAACTTGTTCAGGGTCGCCCGTGAAGCTTTGGAAGAAGTTGCCCGTGAGCAACAAGAAGCTGAGGAGCTGGTGCAACAGCTACGGCGAGGAGCAACAACAGGAGGACGCGGAGGACGCGGAGGACGCGGAGGGCGTGGAGGACGCGGAGGACGTGGAGGTCGTGGAGGTCGTGGACGTGGACGTGGACTTGAGGAGGAATCGTCGTCTGCTGCTGGACGCGTGGTTGCTCCTGCTGCCGCTGGAGCCGATCCCGAGGAAGCTGCTGCATTGGAAGAGCTCATAAGAGTGTTGGATGCAGAAGAAGAGAAGGAAGAAGGAGATGATGTCTTATTTGCTGATGATGGTGCTGCTGCTGACGACGGTGCTGCTGCTGACGACGGTGCTGCTGCTGACGACGACGATGCTGATGGAAGTGAGAGCGTTGCAACAACACCAGCAAGGAAGCGTCCTGGGCAGGCTCCCAAACCACCTCCTGKGGTTAATATTCCAGGGCAATGGAAAACTTACCATTCAATGTTCCTCAACTTCATGGATTTTGTGCATGGAAGGCGAGATGGGATGAGTGATAATCCTCCCACTGAAGATACAAGATTTGCTAGGGACTACGTGTTTAGTGATGATGAGCTTTCTAACATCACTCCTGATCATGTTTATAGATTCCTTGCGCTCCAG